ACAGTGCTACTAGTAACAAAGGGCATCGCTATTCGCAAGAAGCTACTAGTAACCGGACACTTTCCAAGGAACTGTGCACTGCGTACGGACGCACCTCTGCATGTCACAGGGATATTCTTTTTGCTGCGAGCAGTCGGCCAGCGACACCCGGGCGGGCGAAACACCATGGGATGGACCGGACGGCAGTGACTGGGCGTGAGTGACCATGTGTTCGGTCAGACTTGGGAACAGGATGGGAGGCGATGTTGCAAACATCTGAGGCAACTTGAAAAGATCTGTGGAAGCCTCGCGAAGTATTCAATCCGCAGTTGAAGCCTGACCTAAGTCATGTGGGATTGGAGAAGTAATTACAATCATTGTGTCACGTCCGAGTTGGGGCACGAGAAGTACCAGCAATACCATGTCACGGTCTCAGTCCACAGGTCGTGGCCTGCTTAGGATTGCCGCAGCTTCAAACTGGCAGTGGGTCCCAGGTTGGTATCCGCTGGGCTCTGTCAAAAGAATGCTCCATGCTCTCTCCTTGAAAAGGCTGCATCTGCAGAATAAGCCTCTTGAAATTCAAGATATAATTTGTGGAATGCTGAGGGAAAAACACTCAACAGTATGTTGAGGGACCCTTCCCAAATTTGGCGCTCCTGCTGGGACATTCACCGAGCGTGACACCTCTCCTCTCCTAGTCTCCTAGACTAGTCTCAGCTTGCTGCCTCAGCTTACTGAGCACGGATGAACTCCTAGCAGGAGCGATTCCCAAGAGAAACAACCAACGATTCCTGCAAGCGACCATCCATGCTATCACGGACCGGATGGAAGGCCTTTCCATCCGCACAGGGTTCCGGAACCCGAACAAAAACACCGTCTTAGTCTTATCTGCCAATGACTTGGGGTTGTATTTCTTCCGTTGCTCATGAAAAGCAGTAACTCAAACTCATACTGAGAAGCGATTTGGGGCTTGAGGGGGAGGGTCACAAGTTTCAGCCCCAACTATCAAACGGTTGGGTCTAGGTGGGGTATTCCTGAAGAACTGCTTCAGAGACTATCATCGAACTAGTCTGCCCATCAGGACCGTCCGGTGGACGTCTCCTTTACCTGGCTGCCTCAGGTTCCCTTAATAAAATGGTTACTTGACCTTTCTCCATCTGGGGACAAACACCAATCCCCCAAAAAGGTCAAAGGTTATCCACGAATCCACGAAGGGTAGGTTCTATACCAATGCGGACCTTGTTTTCAGTGACCCACCACCCGTGCGACGGTGGCGCCAAAAGCTTTGCAAAAAGCACTGGGACCGCGAGTTGCGTGGAAACATCGCGCCCGGTGGGGGGTCGTCGCTCGAGTCGAGCGACGTGTGTGTACTTTCTTGTTCGCTGCGCGACGTGTGCCGAGAAGAAGGAAGCTTGGATTTGCTGTCCAGGAACCTGGAAACATGTTCGCCAGAATTGGATTTAATATGAGTTAACCATAGGGGAAGCTTAAGCAACACCAGGGTGAAAGTAGGTGGTACCAGGTGCCGTCGTCTCGTGCTCAGAGGAATGCCCTCTGGTGCTCAGGAGAAGGAATCTACCTGACTGCCCAAGTTGGGGGCCAATCACCAAACCCCAATGGATCAGTACGGCAACCTGACCCCATCAAGACTGTTCTCTTTCTTCCTTTTCTCTTTTTCTTTGGTTCTAATAGCGCCTCCAAATGCCTCCTATAGTAGCGATGGCCTACCTCCTAGCGATGGCCTCCAACCCCAATCAAGACATCTCAAGATGGACCCCCAAGAACTATAGAAAAAAGACACACAACAAGCGTGAAAAAGGGATCCATCAATGAGTGACGTGCCCCGATCGGTCCGTGCAGTCTTGAATCAGAAACCGCTGCACCCCACACCCGAACATCTATACAGGTCAATGACCTCATTTTACAGGAGTTGGTCACGCACAAAACACGACTTAAGGAGGCCAAAAAGAACAGGTTTTACATGGTTTTACTGGATGAAACTGCACTTGTATAGGGCATAGGGTATCACCATGGTATCACAACCACCCACTTCATCGCGGACATGAGGATCTCTGAACCGCTACTGAGCAACATCGAGCCGCGTCGACCATGTACATCGCATGAGGGTTCATCGGATGCATCAGACCCCATCGGGTACTTGGCATGTCGTGTGGTTTTTGATCTCTTTTGGCTACGGGGATATCCAATCGTCGAGCCTGTTCTGTCTAGCAGTTGCAGTTGCAGAACAAGATCTATACACCATGAGCAGTGGCAACCGATTGCTCCAACGGCGAACGCCCGAGTTGCGTTCCTACGGATCACTCGGTGACCGTCGGGGGGTCGTCGACCGTCCACGACAGTCGTGCAAGCTTCACGACCGGGTGGCCGTAGTAAGGCCACCTGGAAAGGAAAGAGTCAGAACATGTGTAAGATTGTGTAAGCTTCCGCAGGTGGGCTCACTACCAGAGTCTAGCAGAGTTGGTTCCAGGAAAACCTCTTGCTCTCTGATTTCGCTCAGCATGCAGCACATTCCACGTCGCTTCCAACGAGACTCTCCCCCACAAAGCTTTGGCATATCGAAGAGATAGAAGATTCACTCGGAGACACATGTAAACTGAAGGCGTCTGATCCCTCTGTCGATCAAAGCCCCTCGCTTCTGCAAGCATCAAAATGGCAATTGGGCGAACCCTGCACCGAGCACTCATTGCTGTGCCCAGGGCTTGCGTTCGCACGCCTTTTGACGCGCCGCACAGGTTCTGGTGCGTTTGCACTCAAATGCCTCGGCGCAAGGGAGTGAAGCAAAGCATTTGTCGGTCGAGGGGAAGCATGGCTTTCCGCTTTCCATCTATGAAAGGATCATAGAAGAATCAACCCTGGTGTTGTCTCTCTCAAACATGGGAAGGGCAAATGATGGCAAATGCACGCCAAACATAGATGAGGCTGCCTATGACGCCCTATGTAATCACTCATTAAAGAATCTAACTAGTCGAGGCCGAGGGCATCTAATTGCATGAAGTACAAATCTGGCAAATGAAAGCTCCTCTCGTGGGTAATGTTGCATAGGCAGTATTGAATGAATACCGGGAGAGCCTGACAACCCTTATTCAGCAGAACTTGCATCCTGAGAACCCTCATCCTGCGCATCCTGCAAGATCCTGCAACTGACCCATCTCCATGAGGGTACGACAAGAGGAATGGCTGTAGGATGTTGTAGGAAAACTTACCACGCAATAGGTTTGGTATGGTTTGGTTTGGCGGACATGAAACCGGTCCAAACCCTGCCATTAAAAAACACACATTTCGACTCCTTTCGTGCACACCAACTTGGAATTCCTTTCAGTTCACAGTCGGTGCATGTGCTGTTCCGAGCGCCACCGATGCCGTTGAACAGCAAATACACCAACATGGCAAACAGTTGGGTGAAGCGAACGGAAAATCCAAACGCGCCACCCGCCAACTGGCCCTTCGGCCCTCTTTGGTCTCCAGTTCCAGTTCCGTGAACGAAGATGTTAGCAAAAACAACAACACATGGTCGACTGCTGCAAAGTAAAAACACCCCTTCAACTGGAAGGGGTGTTTAATTTCCATCTTCTCACTTGGAGTGACCTATCCTACTCAGCTAAGTGGCATTTGGGCCTTAATGTCATCAAACTGTGATCTCATCTTTAAAACACTGCTGTCGACACTGTCGACACACTTTTTCTATGTCACTACTGGAGGCGCTCGCATCGAGTTGAGTGGCAACTGCCGGGCCAATGGCACCCACCCCAGTCCCACCTTCTGAGAAGGTACGACTGGATCCCTAGGGCTTACTGCTTTCCATCCACATGTCCCGCCGGTCGCCATCGGTCTCAATCACACCCAGCGGCCACCGCTGGAGCCGCTTGATGAGCCGCTGGCCATGGAGGAAGCTCCGGAGCCCGATTGGGACTGCCAACCAACGCCGACGGCGTCAACGGATGGGACAGTGGGAAGGTCCAATCTGGATGGAGTAGCTTCTTGCTCCGTTCGTGGACGAATGACCTCCACCTAATAGCGATGGCCTCCACCTAGTAGCTTCTTGCTCCTAGTAGCTATTTGCTACTAGCCTTGAAGGACAAAGAAATCAAATGATAGTTGTGCGTAAGAATTATGTATAATATGAGAATAGGGAGACCGCCCCCAAATTCGTTGTTTGGGTTCGGACAATGGGACACCATGTGAGCGGTGGTCGAAACCCTTTAGTCTTGGCCTTATAATAATCCTTCTCTGCTTACGCGTCGGCTTCCGCAATGCTTACGCTACCAATGTTTTCGCTTACGCGGTGATGTTGTTTCTCTTAGAGCTTACGCGTTTCTTACGCGGCGGTTTTGTTACCGCCGTTTTGGCACCAGAGCGGTGAACACTCTTTGTTCCCAACCGGTCAGGTGAGGGTGGTTACAGTAGATTTTAGAAGATGATCCCTCTCCTTCTCCTCTGCCCCGCTTCACTAGAGCAAGCGCCAGATCACAGTGGGGAATCCCGGACTCCAACAGCATGCGCCAAATAGCGGTGGGCACTCCCGGACCTCAACCGCAAGCTCCAGATCGCAGTGGGCACTCCCGGGGATCACTCGAAGTAAAGTAATTTACACTTTGCTTGTATGATTCACTTGGTGGAGCCCGCTGCTTCTTTTTGTCAGCCATGGGGACCAAGCAGTTGGAGCGAGGGTCACAGTGCGCTTTGTGCTTGAAAAGTGCTCAGCTGCTTGCTTTGGTTTCTTTAGAAAAAACCTTTGGTGGACGTGAGCAAAGGGCTTCATCTGAGAAGTTCGCCTACGCAAACCTTACGAATCGGCTTACGCGGGGCTTACGCGGAATTCGTGTGGTCGTGGGCCACTCGACCCCTGCAAACAGGGCCTTTGAGAGATTGAGTCCACAACCCTTTTCTGCTTGCAGTGTTTCTCAGCAATAAACAATATATTGGCTGTGTAACTAGAACACTCAAAATTGCTTACGCACCTCTTACGCATCGAGTGTCCCAAGCTTGGCTTCCACCGAACCTTACGCAACCCTTACGCCGTGCAGACTTTAGCTTACGCGACAGTCTTGCAGTTTAATCGGATCATGTGGTTCTTGCATTCAGGTTTTGAACGCTGCTCATGTGATGAGTTGATCACCCCAGCCAGGGCCAAGGGGTCTCCTTAGTGAAGCACCCAAATCATCTCTTCTGGAGAAATCGCAAGGGTCCAATGCCTTCTGGAGACACAGGGAGAAATGTTAACGTCGGCGTCGGCGAGAACTTCCCAGGTCTATCTACCAGGAAACACGGCCCATTTTGGCCGCCCAAGTGGTTTAGAACTTGCTTCAATGTGGCCGCTTTCTCGAGGACAAATGGGAAATCCAGTCAAACCTGGCAAACATGGAATTGAAGTTCTCGGCTGTTTCAACACTATCAGCTGTTGGCACTTAATGGTCTATTTCTTGGCGCCCACCCCGCGGCTCCACGAGAAGCACACAGACTGGGACGTTCCTGTTTCGACCCTCTGGGGCCATCGCCCAAGAGCTCCCCACCAAAACGACTCGAAACCGCCCATGTCCAGCATCTGGTGCGACTCGCCAACGTCGCCTTGTTGCTGGCTTTGGTGATCCGCTTTACCGCCTTTTCCTGAGAGGCACGTGGAGGTGACGGAGAGGGCGTGATGGAGGTTGTTTGATATGCGAAGACTGGCGTTGAATGGCGGTCCAGTCCCCCAAATCCTCGGCCATACCGCACCTGTCGATATCAGATTCATCAGGTATATGCATTGCAAAGTGCCAACAAATGTATGAAAGGCCCGTCTTCACATAGGTTTCCCCTTTCTAAGTTGTCTTGCCTATCTAATTGCCCATAACTCAGCTTCATACGACACTCTTCTTATAATTATAGAGCAGGGAAGCAGGAGGGTCCTCAGGAGGGTAGAAATCTGCATAAGCAAGGACAACGAAGAAGAGGAACTAACTGCCAATTCAGCACACTCACTATAAGGGAGGAAAATGAAGTACAGTATTCAAGAAGAGGAGTACCTAATCAAAGACTGCCACGGTCTACAGGCAAGAGCACACGGGCAACGAATCCTCTAGCATGTGACCTGACTCCTTTAGTGTTGGTTATGCATTTCTCGGCTGCATACTGGGAATAATATGCAAAGTTCTGCAAAACGCTGACAACTGCAAAAAACAGTCTGCTTAGGCTAGGAAGAGCTTTTATGAGGAGATTGCCAACATGTCATTTCCTTGGTTCCCAACGATGTTTAGAGCACAATTTGGAGGATAGAAAGAGTCCATCAGCAAAAGAAAAGCGCCTGCCTTGAGGTAACATATGCACATGGGTAGTAAAAGCAAGAGCAATTGACGCTTATGGAACATGGTGTTGGTTCAATAGCTAGTTTTGTGTGGTTGGATGCTCTATTATTGTTGCTTTGGTTGGGCTGTGGCACAGTTGCACTGGGAAACGCAATTGGGAGATAGTTCTCAACGAAGTGCCAAGCAAACAATCTGCACAGCAAATAATGAGAAATGGTCGGATCGAATGCAGAATGCAGAGTACATGCAAAAAGTGCACGCTCAGGCCGCTCAGGGGCTCAGGGTAGCCTGTTATGAACAACTATGTGATGTGTTTCTTGGACGAGGCCTGACCCGTCTGTCCAGAAGACACTTTGAGTCCCCCACTCCGAAGGACATTCAGTCAAAATCCCCTCGAAACCACTGGCCGCATGGATTGGTCGGTGGAAAAACCTTCAGCGCCGAGGCACGATGATCTTCTCCAAGCGATCCACCTCGCTTTGAGGGGCGGCTCAGGGAGATAGGATGAAAAGGGATTTGGCTTCAGAAACCGACTCTTCCCAAGTTCGAAGAGTAGGTATGCCACATTGCATCGGGGAGACTTTTGAGTCAGTCTCTCCACTCGTTTGTCCTCACACCAACTCCTTAAGTCGCCACACCTTTCCATACTTTTCCTGTTGATTCTGTGCCATATCCTACCTCATCCCATCGAACCACTGGGATTTGCCGGGACCAAAAATCACCCCAGCGCCGCCAAACCCACCAACCTCACGGCGCCGAAATCCGGGTGCCCGATGCCTTATCCTCAATGTCCACTTCGTTGGCCGTTTCAGGCCACGGTGCCGTGGGGCACGTCGAGCCACCGTACCTTCCGGCGAATCGGCCACCGTCGACGGGAACGAGGTCCGTCTACGGTGCGATAAGCAGGGAGAAGCAGGGAGCTGAAGCGCCAACAAAGAGAAGAAGACTCCTTTAGGATCTAGCCACCCGTAGCGAATCGGCCGGTAGCCATCCGTTTCGGACGGAGCGGATAGCAAACGGTAGCGTCTGGATGACACACACGCAGGGATTTGACTTGACTGCATGCTTGTGGCGAATGCCGTGAAGAACTCCTGTCCGATCGAAAGAGTCTGATGTCTGCCCGCCCGGGCGCCTGTAAAGCCTCTAACGAGTCATAAGACACGGGCCATCACAGGCCTCTGACTCCTTTGATGGCCGTTTTTTGATTTAAGTAAAGTGATGTCAAGCCAGGATACAATTAACCTCCCCTAGTCAATCCGAGCCACAACATCCTCGAAAGCTCACCCATGTTGAAAGTATTCAATATATCAATATTGTATGGTGGACTGCATGGTGGTTATTTATTTTCCCCATGAATTGATATGTGGGTGTTAGAATCCCCGAGCTAGTCCGAGCCACATAGCCAGGACAATGTTCAATTATCAGCTGGTTATATAACTCCCAGAAAGGTTAACCATGCTGCCATCCCTACCTGCCTGCAACTAATCTCCTTTTGAACTCACCGATCAGGTTTGCCGATGGTTTGGCCTTTCGGATGCTTCTTAGTCAATAGCCCTGCCAGTTCTCTGTATGATTGTTGTTTTGCAGCTGGTTCTCCATAAACTTTCCCGAAATAGTGTAGGGTTTAGGGTTTTAGATGACTTTAACGTCCTTAACTTAAATAATTTGATATCATTGAGAAGCTCATCAATCCTCCGACCCTCCCTTTTCACACCTTATCTCCTTCCTATCCAACACATCGCTGGAAGTGGACCCCATGAATGGCACCCTGGCCATATTACCTTGAAAAACCGGCATGCTAGCAGGCCAGTGCCGCTTGGCGCGATCACTTCCTCCGTCCGGTCCCCGACCGCGTCCGACCGTCGCGCAGTCACGCGGCGCGCGCGTCCACGCGGCCTCTTGATGGAGTCAGAGGTCACCGGATTGGCGCTGGCCGACTCCAGGACCTGTGCCGGTTCCGGAGGTCGGGAGGACTTCGGCGTCCAGCGCAGCGACCGGGGTTAGCGCGGCTGCGGTGAGCTGCGGGAGACGCTGCGGGTGACGCAAGGCTGCGGCCTGGATGCCACCGGCCAAGCCAATATCGCCCTCATTGAACTCCAGCTTCCTGGCTTCGAAGCGCAAGAACCGAGAACTCAAGCCATCCCCAGCCCCATGCGATCCAACATGTAGTTATAGCATATTGCCGAGTGAGTGGATCGAATTGAGTCGTTGGGATGAGTCATAAAGTCCAAAGACATGCGCGCACGAGAAGGTCCCATGAAATGTCCAAGGAAATGGCTCAATCAATTACCTTGAGTCCGCGCGTACTAGTTACTACGTGTCAGGACGATGCCTTTTATGATCTAGAACACTTGCTTGACATTGAAGACTCCAGGGTGCGTCCCCCATCGTCCCCCTCCGCTGCGATTTGCTGAACCCACTCACATCCTCCTGGTGCGCAGGAAGGAACCAAAGAGTGGTCCAGGATTTCCACGGTGGTCTTCCTATGTACTTCGTGGCGGCCAGTGGGCCAGCAGATCTACACCCAGCACTATCTTTGGGAAAGGCTTCCAACGATGTCAAATGTCCACGAACTACCGCTTACCAGGCCTGACAAGAGTCTTGATGGGGGTATGTGCTCCACAAATAAACAAAACTGACAAGCCAGCCCGAGTAGAGGATGATCTTCCCAACCATCTCTGGCAGTTCCGGAGATGACTGTTTTGACCCGTCTGCCGAACCACCCTCCACGATTGACATGTCGAGTTGCTCATCCATCTGTAAGCTCTCCACAAACCTGGGGAGGATAGAGGGGGGGAGCTAGGCAGGGTGTGAAAACATACCAGAACACCTGCAAAAGAGCAAACAGCTGGAGAGAGAGAGAGAGAGAGACACAAGCTGAGATGTTCAAAAAAGGCCATGTCAGGTTTGGCGCATTTTCTTGTGGAGGATAGATGGCTAGTAGTGCATGTAATGGACAACAAGGTAAACTGGAGAAACTACAATTTCAGTTCAGCCAGCCACAACTGCTAAAGACCTCCACGTTGGTGCGCAGGACATGTGCATCTGTGGAGTCTGGTAAAATGGAATCGAGTGAAGGGACTTTGGTGTTTGACCAGGGGGATTCACACCCAAGGGTGTCTTGGAGCCTGGGAGTCCTTCCCAAACAATAGCTTATTCTATCGACTTCTGTATCAGTCGACAACCCAAAATCGAACCTGCCGAGTGAGCTATCTGCCGGTCCAGCAGGTGCAAGTCCCCAAGTCCCTCTGAGCTGGTCGCAATCGGATAATTTGCATAAGGAAAGTAGAAACAAGATTTGCCAGAAGGGAATTAAAATTGATTAGAATTTTTTTATTGGACAATAATGGAAAATCATGGAACATCCATCACCTGATCCGCACAACCAGGCTCTGGAGCCCTCTCTGGGTGTTTAAACCTTGAGGGGGGACCATTGGACTGCGCATTGGAGATGTGACACTCCGACGGACATAGAACACATTTAAGTGGAGTTCACCCCCTTGTCTTTGTATGTCAGCGAAAGTCGTCTTCCAAGGGATGCCATCATATGCCATCTATTTCGACAAGTCGGAGCATCGACTGCACCTGGAGTGGTCGACCTCAATTCGCGACCTGACCTGGAGTCGAACCAAAACCATAGTTTGAATGGTCCGAATCACAAAGAACCATTGTTTTGCCTAAGGACTTGTCCACTAGTACACCAGGTCAACCCTTCGGACGGTCAGGCGACAAGGACTTGAGGTCCACCACGGAAGGACGGACCTTCCTCGATCACCAGGCCACTTGGTCCAGCGGTGCTTGGAGGATCTGCTCACGTTCTCCAGAATCACCGAACCTCCATCGGCCGCTGTGGTCCGCTGTGGGGGCTTCGGAAGCTGAAGCTCCGCTGCTTCTCTGAGGGTTCGGATGTTTTGAAGTTGAACGGTGTGGGGTCTTCCACCAGGTCCTGGTCCACTCTCAAAGGTGTTCGGTTTTCATGATATTCTTCTTAGTTCTGTCTGGTTTACTCTCTCGAAACAGCTGGCTTCTCTCCGAAGCTTCGCGATCGGTGCAGGTCTGGATGAACGGACTGGACCGACCTCCCCAGCGACCGACGACGAGTGGGCATTCGGAAGCGACGGTCGGTGCGTTGCTCCACACGACCAATGGAGCATGTTCGAAGACCGCGAGAACCCTTTCCGACTGAAGGACCTGAATCCAGTCAGCTTCCAGGGGCGTTCTGGGACGGGTGCTCAACGTCGAGCTGATCGTCAGCATGGACGCGCTTCCCCACCCAAAAAGGAATGCAGGGAGACATGGACGCGCTTCGTCTGCAACGGCGGTTTCTTAGAGTGTTGTAATGTACATTATGTAATGCCCCCAAAAACAACATGCTGTTCACAGGGTTCCCTTATATGATTTTATCTTATCTTATATTATTGTTATTATCTGTATTATGATTTCTATGCCAAAAAGGTTCCTCTCACTGTTTCGACTGTTGCTCATTTCCACACTCATCTAGGCCATCCGATGTGGCGTAGGGGTTTGGGCTCCCAGTCCCCATGGACGACGTGGCGTTCAGCGCTCCATGCGTACGCCACTGCGTACGCCATGCGACACCCGCCCCGCCCCGCCGCCTCGGTTGAGCCTGGCGTAGCCCAACATGTCCTTGAAGATGCCCATGTACGCGCAATTCAGCTGCGCGATCCTCCGAGGGGACCAAGGGACCAAGACGCACTCCCCTAGTTAAAAACCCCCTCGTTTTTGGGATCAAACATGGACATCCAACAGGATGCGGCGACGATGCCGTCAGAACTTCATGGCTGTCACCTCTCCACCTTTGAACAGATCACTAAGGGGGAGGGCACTGATACACCTCACCAGCAGTGATACACCACGCGATTGGATCAGTCCCGAAGGCACGCATTGGACTTTGATCACAGATTTCGCCCCACCTCTAATTGACCGCTGCTGTGTGGATTGAGGCGTTGAAAACCAACGCTGGACAGATCGCCCTATCCTCCAAGAAAAGGCTTAAGATAACGCTTGATGAGTCATTCTGCACCTGGCACCAGGCCCAGGGCCACCATAAGATCGCCTCCGATTCACAGGACAGCCACTCACTAAGCCTAGGCACAGGAGGTTGAACAAGAAGATGGTGGTGCAAATCACGAAGACGCCTCAAGTCACCACCCTGAAACCAGAATGGCCCGCGGGTCCACAACGTCGGATCGTCCCGTTTGGGGCGTGCTTCGAAGGCGGCGTTCGACTCGCCGGAAAGGGAGTTGGAGGGGTAGTCTCTCTTGGACGATCCCGAGCCAGCTGGGATCGGTGAGGTTGCCCAGAGTCTATCTTAGCAGCCTCTCTGCTGGTCCAATGAAATGTCTGGCACACTTGGTTCTGAAATTGTGCAAACGTAGTGCCTGGAAGAAGACATTGATATTCATAGATATGTTGTGATACGTTCAACTTCCTTGTTCTTTTAAAGGTTGCCGCATTCAAGCATTCAAGAGAAAGTGCAACACTGCCACATGAGTTTTCTGTCACAACCTGCACGCCTAGTTGCAGGGAACACCTGATGGGAACTAAGTGGCCCATCACTACATCACTACAGTGACCATCCAATTTCGAGGCGACCAGGGGCGTAACTTGGCTGGCTTTGGGATTCTTTTCGAAAACCGCAGCAACCTGGCAGTGGCTGACATTAAAAAACTGAGTGAGCCTTTATAGCATTCCTTCTGAGAGGCTGATGGACATCAAGAGCTTCGGTTCAAGCTCCAGGTATTGATACTCATCGCTGCTGTACATACCTCAGTGGACGAGTAACGGGTGAGGGGAATAGGCCCACTCATGTATTATGTTAAATACCTCGGATGTGATGTTCTGGTTCGGACCAGGACAAGACCTTTGGTATCATTCTTGATTTTTTCTTTTTGGCTGGTTCCTTTCAACCATTCTTGCATGCTTTGTTTTTTGGAGTTGTTTGACATGATGTCTGTTCCTTTAAACATGTGTTTAATCTTCTTTAATCGACTGTTCTTCTTGTTTTTGTGTTTGGACCGTTCTTGTTTGTCGTTTTCAGACACTGTTTTTTCCTGTAGGTGTGTTTTTCTTTATAAGACATTGTTATGTTTAAGCATTTTTTTGGACTGTCTATTTCGTTAGTTTAGTTTTCTTTAGGACTTTAGGCATGTCTTTAGTTCTTATTGTTCGTCCGTTGTTCGTGCAGTCCTCCATGGGTCCCAGAAGACTCCTCTCCAAAGAATCCAGTCGTCCCGCACGTCGGTGCGACTGGACGCAGGCAGCTACTAGCCACAGTGTCGAACACATCACCGTACCTGCAAAGGTACCACTGCATCCCTAGGGTCTGAGTGAGGGCAGACTTGGCCCCCCCATCATCACCGCTGAGCGTGGTGAGCGGACTTCGGACGCCGAACGCGGCCGAAACCAATCCTTTTCCCAGTGGCCGAGCATGATGCGGGAGAGGTTCAACATGGCCGGGCCAATGTTCATGAACCTGAGCAATGACTCAGTTGATGGGCAACTGACTCACTCAATGGTCGAAAAGAAGGGCTAACTCCTTCATCCACCTGTCCACTGTCCCTATCCACAAGAAGGTTCACTCCTTCAGTCACGGGCTCCGTGGGGCATCCAAAACAACTTCTGATCTGATCAGACCCCGTCAACTCCTGAAATTCCAATGTTTACCTTTGCCATGGTTCTTTGAGGTTGGGACATGTCCTGAATTAGATTGAATATGGCATATTGAATATATGTAACATGTATGTGACTATGATTAACTGTGTATACGGCTACATGCACTCACACCGACACACACACGCACATCACATTGCGTGACCTTACCTTACAATACATTTAATTACCATAAGTTACACAACGTTGAATTACATTAAATATGTTGCATACATGCGCTTATCGCATTCACAAATGCATGCACACACACATGCATACAAACAAACAAATAGTACATGTATTGCTTTACTTTACGTTACGTTACATTGCGACATTTTCTTGCATACCTACCATACAATACCACACCATGACATTAATTTACATATGTATCTGTATTATATGTACAGTATGTGTGTGTGTGTCCACCCCTGGACAAAGGGTTTCGTCCAACTGATCCACCGTTCACCTTTTCCACCTGTAATTCACATGCAGGAGCGTCCAACTGATCTACCGATCACCTTTTCCACTGCCACCCATGAGTCATATGCAGGGGGCAGAGGGATCTCCAGTCGTGGCCTCTGCCAACGAAGCTCCACACTGGACGATCAGGAAAACGTACCTGCGCCGTGACACTACTCCACTTTTCCGTGCTGTGTTTTGATGCCATGGTTGTTGATCACGATACTCTCCCCTCAAACAGGTTTCCCACAGCTGCTTTCAACCGACCGCGCGAGCGTTTGCCACTGCAGTCACGCACAAACAACTTGTTCAACTTTCAAGTGACCTGACTTTCTCGCCATGCCGTTCCTTCACCATTTTCGACCTGGGAACTGAGTTAACTGAATACAAGTGTCAGAGTGTGTCAACTGCTTTCATTGCATGCAACATAATGCATCTACACAAACAACATGCGACATATACAGAACATAAAACATCATAAACCATGACCATTCTCCATGGTGACAACTATTTGCCCGGACAACATGTTCCCCACACCGGGGCCACCTACCCTGCTTTGCAGGGCCCATCAAGACAAACCTATTCGACTCTTGCGGGCTGCGGGCAGAAATCCTCGCCAAACACCAGTCTTTGAGTGCTAGGGAGTACCAAGCACATGTTAACCCTAGGGCTCCAACATGCTCCTGAGAAGGTGCCAAGCGGAGTTTCACAGCATCGGCCGACTGGAGTCAAGAGAAGGCTGTCGCTTCAGAAGGCGAGCTGTTCGGAGGGGACTACGGGTCCGACCCAATAACTAGACTCTTAGCTTGCCTTCATGATAGCGATGGCCTCCGACCTACATTCAAAAAGTTGGCCCAAGAAGTGCTCCTTCTGGTGGAGAAGAATGAACATCCCCTCCCAGCACTGGTGGTCTGGTAGTCGAAAAACACATGTGCCGCATGAGCCTACGGAGAAAAGGAATTACGCCCGCCGTTAAAAAAAACAAAATGAACCACGGCAACGATGATCGCAAATCAGGGGCTGTTCGTTCATGACGTCCGATGAGGCCTTAGGGCCGCCGTTGAGGGTCAAATTCAGGCCGTCTTGCGACAATGCAACATAGGGTGTTGTACTGACCCAAGATGCGCCATTGACAGATGCCTTGAGAAGAGTTCGCTAGTCAGTCTTGATGATGCTGCGACTTTACCCCTCTGTGATGCCAAGTGTTTGGTTGCGTATGTGCAAGGATCCAAAATCCCCGGGTCTCAAAATGAGACACAGGAACTACTCTCTTTCACTCTCTCTCTCTCTCTCTTTTTCTCTGCTTCTTCAATAACTTCCTCTGTTGTCCAACAGGATTGAATTGGTTGTCACCTGTCAAGACCAACCCTTTGTGCAGAACCCTTGGAGTAGTAATTGGCAGCAGTAGCAGCCAGAAACATCTGGGCGTTCCCCTGGCCAATAGCTGCTATATGCTCATACAGCAACATCCTTGAACCCCGGACTTGGAGGAGCATCCGAATACTCGACACAGTAACGAAATCAGACTCGTGGACATCCCTCTGGGGATGCCCCATTGAAGCAAAAAGCACCACTGCCTTCGCGGAGAGAAGTACCCTACAAGTCCAGTCATGGTCATTTGCCTCCTTCAGTAGTGAACTCCATAAAAAGTGAGCTCATTGACCCTGTAGTAGTAGGGATCTCTCTCTACTCTCCGTCCCCTCTCGGATCGGGTCTCCATTCCTATTGCGCGGAGGTGCGACACCTCACCGTTCCGAACGAGGCTCGTTGGGGTGCACGGTCGGTCTCCGTTTGGACGAAGAAAGCCACTCCGACATGGAAAATCATCAACAAGCACCCCCCCCCCAACCATGTATGGGTTTCGAAAGCATTGGGGGGAGCATTGGGTATGGTTATGTGTTTTTTATCTTTCGAAACACACCCAATGCTCCCCCCCAACTGGGCCCCAACACAAAGGCGGATCTCGAACATTCCACCACACTGTGCTCCAGTTTTGGGCCCCAAGTCCTGTTGAGGTGGTCAAGTCCACGTCACGTCATCCCCACTCTCTTTTGATACACGTACCTCCATAAATATCCAAACACATTGGCCTGGCCCAAAGTTCATAAGTCCCCTTTCAAGATCCTGATAGTGGTGTCAATGGATTTGCAAACAAACGTGAAAAGAAATCCCCCCCGCGGAACTCTCAACTGTTGGAGTTCATGCGTGTGCCCCGTGCGGATGGGGAACCGTTCCACCTTTTGGGGTCAAACCTCGTGCCGAGGACTCACGCTGAGTACTCGGCCTTCCCAAACGAGCTGAGTGGGGATGAAACACGATCAGCGAAGCCGACCCATTTTGGAAGGCGACACCGGAACTTTCGCCGTACCTGGAACCCTGACGGGAACCATGCTTTTTGTGACACCAATCCAACACCCAAGTGAAGAAACACCAAATACCACTCCACTACGACGCTACTAGCGGCTCCTGGCCTTATTACTATAGGAACAATAAAGCTATTAGGGGCTCCTGGCCTTACTACCAGGAGCAAGGACACTACGAACGGGGCTCCTGGCATCGCTACTCTATAGTAACAAATACCACTCCACTGATCGTCAGGATGCCCGGTCCGCCCCCGGACGACGACGCAGGCCAGGTCGACGGCTCTCCGTGCCCAGCGGCGATCGCACAGGCAAAGGTGATCACCACGAAGGTCAGGGCGAAAAGATACCTTTGCGTGGTGAAAACGTTGGGTCACACATTAAGGTCAGGGCATTGCCACATGTTCGGACCCATGGTTTGGCAGGGGTCCCACGAAAAAGCTGCACTCTAGACCTGAAGAGACGAAGACCCAATTCCTTACAGTATCTGCCTGCGCTCTACCACCAAAATGTACAAATGTCGGGGGCTCCTGGCAAAGGAGACCCTCTAGCGGGCCAACAAAGGTAAAAAGGACTGCTTCGGATCAGCCGTGGGGTGTGCCAAGACTGGAGCAAATGTGAAAGACTGGAGCAACTGCACGATGCGATGTATTCTTCACCTCTTCAAGTCGTTTGGATGCGGAAAGACGCTTATATAATCTACCAGGAGTCACAAAGGGGTGCCTATTGGAGGTTAGGGGTGCCTATTAATTTGAATTGTTCTTCCAATTTAATTCTCAATGTCATTGTAACATGCGGTCAGAACCTCCCTCTCATATACATGTTTTTTTCAAACATTCGAAGCCCTCCAATGTTGCACAAACATATTTCTTCCACAAGCATCCTTCAGTGCAAGAGTAGTCTGCCAAACAAACAGGTGTCATCATAAACCTCTTCCTTTCCGAAAGCTACCCTTTCTCTTTCCAAAAATGAGCAGAAGTGCTTGCGTTCCTCTGTGAAAGCCGCATCCTTTATGACAGTGCTGTCCTTTGTCAGGGCTCCATCATTGGCGTCACTCTACCTTTTCTTGTACCATTCTCCACCATTAATTGTCTCTCCTTTAGAATCGATCTATAGAATCATTCTACATAAGAGCATTATGCATTAAAATTTTAAGCTTGGCCTATTAAATGACAAAGAAACCCTCAATTGCTACAAGTGTTCAACTCCCATTCTCTGCTCTGCAGAATGTCCGGTCGCATTCTAAGTTCCTTTCTTGTCTAGAGCCTTTCTCTGTAAGAACAAATGCCATCATTCGTTGAACCCCAACCCTTCATGCAACTTTCTCATCATTCTCTCCTCATCTCACAGCTCCATTGTAGAAGTCGAGCTTCCTTCGTTTATGAGTGTTCCTCTACTGAACTAGTTCATCATTCATCAACATGCAGTCCCTTCCGCAGTTTCTTCCATTGCCATGGTGGCCTAGGTCTCGAGTTCTTCAACGATTGCAGGGGACTGCCACCTGAACTGGTCAAAGAGCTACGGCCAAATTCATTTGGCGGCCCAAATCGGGAGACCTGGTTCTTCCCCCACCGAACATGAAGAGAATAGACGCCCCAATTGCCATGGTCAACCCACCAGGGTCAACAAACAGGGCTCCGGGAGCCATTTGACCGAACGCCATGCGTGCCGTGTTTGTCCGATGGGTGCCGGGCGGCTGAGCAGCCTCTTGCACCATGCGTCCACATACTAGGACCTGAGGGTTCTTGTGGTGTCTGAGTCTGTTGTTGTCGTTGTGGGCATCTCATGGAAGTCTGGGCGGTATGCCACGCCTGAAAATGGGGAGGTGAATAACATTATACATATTATAGCGTGTTCACACTAATTAAATTAACATATCACATTATATAATTGATTGCATTACATATCACAACTCATATCACATTAATTACATATACATACACATACAGTGTGTTCTTGGTTCATCACGACGTGGTTGGGACCAAAACGTTCCTCCACTTGCTGGGTGTAGAGTTTCGGATGCCATTGGATGCCATTGGTGAATCAATAGACTTCCTTGCGGCTGGGCGCTTGAGGAATGGATGTCAGCTGTTCAACACGAAGTGGTACCATTAGCTGGAATCCCTGGAATCACCCACCAAAGGGGTTGCATGGCATGGCTCTCTCGCGCGCGCACAAGCTCGCACTCTGCACGCTCTCTCGCGCGCGCGAGGGCGCGGCAAAGGTCGAGAGCTTGGTGGAGAACACGGAGAGCTCCAAGAGTAACAGGAAATATCTGAGCCAAGTGGTCAGCAGTTGGGGTGGCTAACTGAGTGGTGGTGGTGGTGGAACAAACGGCTTGGATTGTGCGGCCACCAGGAGGCCGGGATCTCATCTCAATCAGGGAAGGCTTGGATTTGTTGGAACTGGGAAGCCAGAAAAAAAGGACACATATTCACGATTTAACCAGTTCGGGCACACAAAAAGGCACCTGATCCGCAAAATCAGGAGGAACAAACAGTGGTCACAAGTTGGGGTTGCTTCATGCAGTTTCCATGTTTCATTCTATTCCGTTCACGTAGGATGTGGAAGTAAGCTCATATGAAACCCCTCAGAGGTTCTTGGAACTTCGACCGAGGTTCTGGTTCAGTTTTGTGGAACTGGTGTCAGCGAGTGGGCTAGGGTTTTCCAAGAGTCAGGGTCTCAATTCAGCTTTGATGATGCCAAGGAAGTGCAGGACCTGTAGTCTGGAAAATGAAAACCATCTGTGCCAGGCGCCTCAATCTGTGCCAGCCAATTTTCCCACCACCCCAGCAACCGAGAAGACGTTCCGCACGAATTGCATCGGCCAGGGCACAGCAAAGTTGCTAAAAAGGCGAAAGTGGCATAGCTCCCTGTGAGCTCCTGGTGCTCCAAATCTTTGGGCAACTTATAGTTTGTATACACCCGGGAAGGTTAAGATGGAACCTGAACATGGACCTATATATTCATTTACAACCTAGTGGTTTTCATGTTCCATGTTAACCTTCCAGGGTATATACGTATATACATTTATATACCCTCCCGCAGAGGACCACATGGACGTCGGGTAGTAGATGAGAAGAGTCTGAACCAGCGGTCCATTGTCACGGTCCATGTGTTAGTCTGTAGGGGTGTTAGTCTGTTGAAGGAATCTTCAACTTCGCAGGATTGGCTCCGTGCATTCCAAATCGCAGACTTCCAAGAACACCAGGGACCGACCGAACGACCTTCTGGTAGCTTCAAGGAAAGGAAATGCGGGCTACCAGGTTTGAGAGTGCTCACATCTATCATGAAAAAGCGATCATATTTTATTTTTGGGCCTCTCCGCCTCTCGCTGCGAACGTCAATTCCCAGCTCATTTAAGTAGAAGCTGTCATCATAATGACCTCTCTCGGACCTTTTTATGCCATTATGCCATGATGAAAAGGGTTCTTGATTCTTTCGTGGCACGGCCACGTTGAAAGCTGGTAGAGAGGTATGTGTGCTCTTCCCTACCTTTTTTTGGTCACAGGGTCCTACACTCCGATTCACTAACATGGAAGTAGAAAACCCTCTGTTCGTAGAGGCAAGCAGTCTTCCAAGGGACCACTTTCCACTTCCATGTTAGTGAGTCAGAGTGTAATACCAATTCTCACCTGAGACAAGGGGAAGGTCTTCTTCAATAGCACCATTGTTTCACCACACCACCCTACAGGTGCCCTACCTAGCCTTACCGCAAGCAAGGTTCCTCACAAAGCCCTCACCTTTGAGCCACATGTTCCTTTGAAAAAAAAGTTCATTGCCCTCAGATTTCTTCAAACCACACCTCTGACCACCCTTCAAACCGACCCCAACGGACGGTCCAGCCCAGTGCTGCAGTTCGCAGACAGCGCCGAGAATTGCTGATCGCCCAAGTTCTTCCCCAAGCAGTGCAATAAAGGCTCCTGGCGGTGCGAGCCGCGGCCCTCTAAGTCAAGAGCTGCCCTCAGGTGACAGGGCCTTCACAAAAGTCCAATCTTATTTGTTCTTGCAAGGGACATGTGCAAGGTCAGTGGGAAGGAGTCAGCTTGGAACTGGACATCGGAAGTTGAGTTTGCTGGGTACCAATTGGGTTTGCTAACAACGTTTGAATTTGGACATCCAATTGGAGGCAATGATTGGTGTAAATATGTTTTGCACAACCGGTTTTATCCTAGAGGTGGGATGTTCAATCACCCCTCAACTTTTGTCAATGTATGCGAAGGCATGGCAACATTTAGAGTAGTTGCACACCTGCTTCCCAAAAAGCAGCTTGCTATGTGCAAGGAGTCAGGGAACGTTTTGTCAAAACCATTGAACATTTGGCTTCGTCATGGCTGGCCCTTGTTGTACTTGGGTATCAGCCGGACAATTGGCAGCGCCAACATTTTGCGGGTATGGACATAAAGTCGCCGAAACCACGCCTTTCAAGAAACAGCACAAAAACATAGTTATCTAAAGACAAATGTGACAGTATTGACAATATGTGCATATTATGTAAGTGTTCACCCCGAAAGAATCTACCTTGTCCTGTTCCTCTGCTTTTCTATTGGTATGTAAGGCTCTTTCATGCTGACGAGCTCATCTGTCATATCTTCTCTCTCTGCTGATTGTTTTGGCGTGGGATATCAATGCATGGCTCGCTTCAGCCTGCATTCCTGCGTCTCTAGCATTTCTTTGCTTAAACTGCTTTGTCTTGTCTTTAATTGTGCCATTTGTCCTGAGGTTTTTGTGTTTTTTTTTTGTCGTCACTAGCTCTTTCTATTCTCACGGTTTGTCCTCTTGGTTAAGTAGTTTGTAGGAATGAGAAGGTCTAGTAAACTGAGTTCAGAAGAAAGACAGTTCAAGCATGGCGAAGGTTGTGGAGAGATCTTGTACATACATGACTGACTTCCAGCTCTCCAACCGTGGCATACCTGGCATCCAGGATCTGCTGTTCTTGAGAGGGACCACAAACGGACGAGATGGCCCAACACCTTGGGGCACAGGCATAAACACATGATTCCCCAAGTTCCTCACCTACTGAACTGCAAAAAGGGACATTTGGTACATGGCCCGTGCCGCACGAGTCATGCGCCATGCGCACTGGCCCAAGGCATTGAGGTGAACATGTTAAGAAACAAATATAAGCCTCCAAGCATCACCACGGCCGTTTCGCAACCAAGCGCCCTTCGCACGTTTCAATGCTGTTAGTTGTTACATGTTATTAGTTGTTATTACATCTGCACGAAGTCTCCCCACGAGTTTGATATATGGAAGAGCTAGTTGTGTTTATCGTTGTTTTTTCAGGTATCCCGCATGGAATGGAGCATTCTGTCGCTCGCCCTGTGGCGTTACGTCTGACCAACTGTTGCAGTTCTGCAGGTCTTCTGTGGTCTTCTTTCCACAAGGGATTGCTGCATTTCTTGTCCCAAAATGTTCCCACCCAGACGCGACCCGGGACCTGAACCGATGCAGGGGTCGGACCCGAATCCCGAGGGTCAGGGGTCTGGACCCGAATCCCGGTTTGAGGGACCAGTCGGGCGTCGTTCACGGAGCGTCTGGGCATGACATAAAGAAGTAAACGGTGTCTATCAGTTGCTTATCAGGTGGGGGCCCCCCTATCAGAACACACCGACCGAAATTCGAATCATCTGGCCTTGGCTCCTCTGATTTAAGCCCCGCTTAAAGTGAGTGGGGGTGGGGGTGCTATGGAGTTGGTGGTCAAGGATGTTTAGTCCACCAAGTGAGTTATACCATCGTTTTTTTTCATTTGTACGGCCCGTTATTGTGTGTTTTCTCCCGGGGGGGGTGCTACGTGCATTGTCCGCCAACCACTTGTCACTTGGTTCCGCGAGTATTTTTCGCCACGACGAAGATGAAGTGCAGCTCGTTTCGGCCGATCAAGTACAGGCCAGCATGTGTTCTTCGCTGCCATGCTGGTTGGAGGCGTTGGAAACGAGTTCCAGGTTCCCAGAACCACGGGCTCCTGTGCCAGCATACCTACCATGGTCAGGCACAAAAAGGCACTCAGGCATTCCTCGGCAGAATTTCGGGTCGAAAGATTGCCACCCCTTGGTTGGTGGACCACATTCTGCAATGAACTAGGTGCGAATGGGCCGAATGGGGATACTTTGGGGGTTCGAAAGCAGGATTGGTAAGGTTTCTGACCGTTAACCAGGCCCTGGCCAAAACAGTCCCATTTCCGCCAAAGCTTCAAGCAATCGCCCAGGTGATGTGCTACAAGTCAGCTCAAGTTGATTTGGAGGACAGTGGTTTCTTTTGGCATTCACTCGACATCACGTAGTTTGGGGGACTTTGTCTCAATTCATTAGAAGATATTAGAAGGTTGCAGTACATTGGCAAGAAACTTGAAGTGCATGATTCTTTTCAATCATACAATGCGTGCGTAGTTCCCGCAATCAATTGCCGGGAGGATATCTGATCGTTGTTTGACCTCTTTGTCCGGGAAACTGCTACCGACTGTTCTGGTGAAAGACTCATTCGCCCGATCTACGCTAAAGCCACGGTCGATTCTCCAGCATGTCGGGCAAAGTGGGCACACTAGGGACAACTCCTGATGCGGCGTTTCTTCTCTCAAAGCAAGCAGCAGAGAAGCTGAAGAGGTAGCCGGGCACAGGGATACAAACGATCCTTGGCTCCAGTGCGGAAAGGAATTTAACAGTTACCCTAGGATTCCAACCACCGTTCACTTAGCGGTTCTGCCCGGGGAAGTAAAGAAAACATGTTTTCACTAATAAGGATTTCACATTACAAAACCAGGTCAACCAGTTTTGCTCCTGGACGGCCGACGGTTACATGTCTTTGTAACCCAAACCGGCCTGGGACGAACTGAACTGGACTTGGGGGGGCAGGCCTGCAAGTGGGTTGGACTTGGGTTGGACAGTTTGCTGAGGCAGTTGGAAGTGCCCAAATCCAAACAAATCACGGGAATCGGCCAATCACAATGAATTCAGATTGTGTTTGTTTATTGTGATTCATGGTTTCACTAAGCCATACTAAGCCCTATTTCATTTCCCTACCTCTTTCAACCACCAAGAGCCTGGATGTAAGTTGCCGTTCACGGGCTCCGACCGACCGTTTGACTGGGTCAATGGCGGCCGTGACCAATGGGAACTGGAAGAGATACATGCATTCACTTTGGGGGGGTGGTGGAAAACGATTGAACAGGGGTCAAGCTAGTAGCCATATATACGCACAACACATGGAGCAGCATCCAGCAAGCCATCAGCACTTGCGCACACGCGCTACGTCGATCCCTTCTTTCGCTTCGTGCCCCGAAGAGTGCGTTCGGGTCGACAGGCCTAGCCTACCGGTGCATCGCCGTTGTCCTCGATTTGCGGCTCCGACTACCAAGGTGCATTCGTGTGTCCCCGGCCCTGCAGCTCTTCGAAAAGTTGTACCTGAGAGGGCCAGGTGTCAAAATAGAGTAATGAAAGATACCCTCTAGTTAGCAGGAGGTAGCAGGAGGGATCATAGATGGATGTAAAATGGATGGCTTGCACAAACGAAGCCAACGTGATGCCAACATGACATCTTCTCCGGCCCGGGGTTCCATCTCCGCCCAGGGTGTTTTTTTGCTTGGTGGGAGCTGCTCGATGGCCGGTTTCCACGACCGAGCTTCTCGACAACTCAGCACCGTCATGGACCCTGCTGTGGGGTCCCAAACCGAGCCGTTGACCTCCCAAGTGGTCTATTCTGTGCATGTTCGGTGGGAAAAACCTGAGTCTCCTGGTTGAAAGACCCATAGCCCGGGTCAGATCTGCTCCCAACCACACAACCTTGGACCTCCAGTTTCACTGGAATGTGAAGCAAAGCAGGTAGCTCAAGGGGCACCTGGAAGGCACCTGGAAGCTTCACCCTGGAAGCTTCACAGCTTAATCCTTCTGCCCATCGTCAGGAGAGAGGTCCAATGCCCGCAGCAGTTGACTCAAACTGAGTCTGCATCGACTCTGTGGCTCCTATCGGTCGATACAGTTTCCCCTCACAAAATGACACCACCCCCCCTGCACCCGAACCAGGAATTCCACCGCAACATTCTGCACGCACACATCGTTTCACCGTGGTGGATGTGTGCGTTTCACCCTCGTGCTGCATACCATGTTTAGCATTTCTTTCAAGCAGCATGTGCCGAAGGATCAGCTGTCCCATGCCAAAGATGTAGATAAAAATCCTGCCGATGAAGACCGCCAAAATCTGGGCAGAACTTTGTTCGCCACCTGACTCAGCCAGGGTGGAAGAGCAGCTGACAGCTGGTGATGTTGGTGGGTCGCCAGGGATAGCCCAACTCAAACCAATTGTGCTCCAACTTCCAGCAGGGGTCAACAAAAACCACTTCGAAGCCAACATGCCAACCAATCGAACATCTGATGCCGGGACTCCATGTGGATTTGGAAAGAAAACTAACCGCATCTGGCCCAGGGCCCTAGAAGCACAATCCGGATCACAAGGCAAACATATGCAAGCAACATTCAAAGGAACCCGCATCTGTAACGTCTGAAGTCTTCCTCTGCCCACAACACCGTGCACAACTAGGACGAAAGATTCTTCATGCATCCCCAAAAGTGTGTTTGCCCCTCACAACCGAAGAAGACAGGGTCGACTCATTTTCACCCCTCACACTAGGGTCGAACATTCTTCACAAAGCGCGCCTTCAAATTCAAATGCATTAAAATGGCTACCCTCCCCGAAGCAATCATGGAAGTGAAGGTTCTGGCCTCTTGGCAGACTCAGTTTTCCCCTACCAAGAGGGGGGGTGTCCACTTCCGTTGCAGGGAGGGTCAGTCAGACTGTCCCACACTCCACCGACGCGACCCATGCCATGGACCTCTTAAACCTTCCACCAAGGAAGCGATCGACATAGATTTGTGGCACTGTCCGGGTTCAGAAGAAACACATTTTCTAACGGCGTCCTCCTGAGGTCGTCACCCAGCAAGTAGAGCCCGCAACTGCCAAGTGACGAGACACACGCCTACCAACAGAAAACATATTGAATATCTGGAGCTTCAAGGGGTGTCCTGTCTGGAGGTCCCTTAGTAGTGTAGGGGCTTCCATTGGTGACCCCTTTGAGGGTGCTGGTATCTGATTACAGTATGATGGTCCAGCCGTCCCTGAAACATCATACCCCAAGGAGTCGATCATAGTCACTGAGTCCGCTCGTCGTCGGTTGTTCGCTAAAGCACATGGCATCGTAAAGATGTTGCATGTTGGGTCTATCCCATTACCAGTAATAGTGGATGATGATGGTTCAGTTGCAGGGCTTGTTCAAAAATAGTGATTTGCAGTGTGATTTGCTTGTTTACTGACTGTTGGTAGTAGGACGGACCCAATATGTATAAATGTAAATCCCTACAGCTCCACTTGTGCCTCCCCAGAAGGTATGACTGGACCCTCTAAACCCACCCCACTCCCACCTTCTCAGAAGGTACGGCTGGAGCCCCAGGGAATATAAAACCTACGATTCTTGAATTCAATGCAACTCATGCAAAGCCAGCTGGCCCGGAGTGGCTAGCAACTCGGCGGCTGCACTTGCTTCACCACTGGCACCACTTGTCACAGCGAAGTCACTCGTTCAAATCGATGTTGAGTCAAGTCACTATAGTCTGTGAGCACCGCCTGCGTGATGACAAAGACCAACAAATTCAGCAAGAACCAAAGCCTCGTCGCATGGGAGCTGGAAATCTGTGACTCCTACATCCGTTGAATGGTGATGTAGTTGCTGGATGTGTCTCTTCCTCGTTCTTGGCATGCGGACATGCATGTCGGCAACACCCTGTGTATGTTGCCATGGAAAAACGAGACCGAGACTTAGTACATCCGGACGGTGTGATTGACAAGGGACCTCTTTCGGCTGTGCCTCGCTGGGCGATACGGGCGACCTCTTCGTGACTGGGTGTTCCGATGCCACGTGTGGACCAGGAGAGATCTGACTTCCGGAAGGGTCTGTTTGCCACCTTTTGTCATGAGTGCCTGGTTCAATTACAGGTGATTTGGCGTCAGGGATGTTCGAACAGTGTGGACCTAGCTAAGCTGTGCACAGCGGCCGATACTTCGCCTGACTTCGCCTTCGGTCCTTCACTGGATTCACAGCTGTAAAAGTCCAGCAGCCGCCGATATTGACATCCTACCATGCCCGAAGTTGGACCAGCCACGGTGACTTACATGTTTTCTTTTGGTTGTTGTTGTCGAACTGTTTCAACATGAGAACTCAAGTTAGACAGTAGTTTTCTCAAACAAATATCGATTGAATCATGTTAAGACGTTCATCCATATCTTCCTTCACTGGATCGAGGAGGGGGAGATGAGCTGCTTAGGTTTTCCCACGGGTACAGCAGCAAGTCATCCGGAGCGTCCCGCTGGCGGAGCTCTGCGGCACTCAGAGCGTCCCGCTTTCAACGGCTCGCCGATCAGCGACTTCGAACGGATCATTGATCTTGCCGCTCGTCAGGCTCGTCCCCAGTTGACTGTGGATATATATATATATATCCCAGACACTCCATGGGACTGCCATATATGCCGCCCCATTGACCCCCAAAACCACCCCAACTGATCGGCATATATGGCATACATGGAGTGTCTGGGTATGTATATACATATATAATCTAAGACCCTTGGCCCCTGATCGAAGGTTTGGACCGTTGGGTAGCCAAGATAGGGCTTGTCATAAAAGCCAACATGGAAGCAACCACAAACCCTTGGAAGGCCAGTTCTTTTCTTTGCGAACAGTTCTCGTTCACCAGTCTCTGGCTTGTTGGGCAAGTATATTTCATGATGATCCCTTCCTTTGGTCATGCCTGTTACGTTTAACTATGTAACTATGTCCCACTTCTGCCACCTGGCTGACTCCAGATTTCTATGGTCAAACCTTGAAGAGATCATGAAGAAAATGGGTAGCTTCCACGCTTCCATCATGGTTTCCGCCCAAACCACGAGACACAAAACCTGGTCTTCTCTCGCCACCACCAGTGCCGAACACCCCACATCATCCCTGGGTACACCACCTGGCTGACAAAGACATGGACGTGGACAATGGGACCCTAAAAAGCACTCCTGTCCTTTACAGGAGGTGTTCCACTTCAGATGTGTTCGTCCAAGTGGTCATCGTTCCACTTCAGCCCAAGCCACTTGCTGGTGAGAAAGGTGTAGGATGCAAGCCTCGCCCACCAAACGGAACGAGAACGAGGCGGAACCAGGGTGGATCCCTGGATCGCTCGTCACCACCATGGTCACTGGTTCGCCAGCCAACCAACATGTCCTACATAGGAGTGGTCTTCTTAGCATTTGCTTGCAGGAACCGGGAAAGAGCTTGACCGGGAATGTGACATGAAACGCACCATATAGGGCGAACAATCGAAAGCAAAACCAGCTCGAATCGTCCCCATGAGCACGCGCGGCGGGCGGAAGCACCGGTGCAGAGGTTCCAGGACTCATTGCTTTGGGGTCCCATACGGCCTGCCAATGTGTGCAACATGTCTGCCTGTTCCATCAACAAATCAGCCAAAACCATAAATGTTGCATACAGTTGGAAGATCCCCAGGGGCCCTCAAAACCGTGCAAAATACAGGTGTTCACATACAAAAACCATGTTTTTTGGCTAGGGAAGACCAGGTTTTTGATGGTTGGTGGGCCCCCTGGTATATGTGTGCCCTACAAGTCCAAAGGCCAAGTTTAACCTGGTCCTTGACTTCATTGAGTACTGGCTTTGCATGACCGGATCCAGTCAAATGAGGTCTTTGACCTGTAGGGTGTGTATATATTAAAGTCTGTCACCATGGCAATCGTGCGGTTGCCAGCTCAATCAAGCCTAAGACTGCAGGTGATATCAGGAAAACCCGCGGCTTTTACTGTACGGTAATTATTGTGTGTTACATGCAATCAAATGCGGTGGGCGTAGTACGTATCATTCTATCTCATTGTGCTTTCCCAGACGCTCCATGTGTTCCATATATGCCCATCGACCCCTCAAGCCACCACAACTGATCGGCATATAACGGCAGATATACCATACATGAAGCGTCTGGGTTTGCTTTTGCCATCAGCTGCCATGACCCTCCCAACCCTTCCAGGCGCTCCGTGCACCCTGCCCCGCCGGGACCACACGAGGTCTGCGGCGAGCACCACCGAGGGATGACAGGCGGCGGCGGGATCTCCGTTGTCCTCGCTCCGCGAGACCAGGAGGAAGTCAAGTGAGAGAGGGTCGATGGATTGGGCGGCGTTTGGCGGCGTTTGCCGGGAGCCAAATAGCAAACCTTCCCAGGCGGACAGTTCATCCGTTCCGTGCCCTCAAAAGAAACCACCCGAAAACCGCCCAAAGCGAAAAATGAGGCCGGTTCGGGAGGGCAACCGGAAGGATCTGGTGACCGGAAGAACGAGGGACCTCCAAAAACTCGAAAGTGTTTCATGAGTGTCATGTTCCTAGCCCTGAACTGAAGCTGAAGAGTCGAATTGGGTTGGTACATGGTACCTATGTCAAGACAATACACACAATACATGTTTTACATGAGAATCAGTGGCAATGAACGAACACAATCCATTTCTGAACGCCAAATCCACTATAACAACTGACAATCAGTTGACCTGCCAGCTGACATCCCCCAAAAAAGACAACCCCCAGGACCTTCAAAGTGACCTTTGAGATCCCAGTTTGAGGCTTGAGGTCACTTAGTCCATAAAAAGGTCACTTTGAAGGTCCTGGCCCCCCAAACTACCCCAGGTCATGCCGCTGGACGTGCCGCCGCCCGTCCAAGGCGCCACCACATCCCTGAAGGACTCCGAAAAGCCGCTCTTCGCATCGACGATCAAATACCTCAAGGACTTCACGGCGTGCGCCGGCGCGAGGTGCCTCCCAGCGCAGGGCTCGGGTCCAAGACAAGGGCGGAGTATAGAACCTCCGACTGCGTAATTGCATCTGGAATATGGGTGTGTTCGCAAACAGGAAGCCTGCCTTGCCCAAATAGGTGGACCAGGACGACTGGACCTTCGCCCTTAGCATATCGAACATGAAGTCACATGTCGGGGTGGTGTTTAGTCCCATCCAGTAAGTGGATGTTCTGGGCACCCCTAACCTCCATGGATAGCACCCCTTTGTGACTGCTGGAACAGTGATACAGTCTAAAACCCAGCCTATTTTGAAAGTGAAGACTGTTCATGCCCGTCATGGCTCTTCTTTTGTGGGTGGCCCCGGGATATCTTGACTTCATCAAAAAAACATGGCCAAGCAACTTGATGAAATAGTTCACCCGCCTCACACCTCAGGCGACTCGCCGATCGGGCACGCTCACGCAGCGGAAGATTGAGACGCCTGGGGTGGTCTTCACTCCAGTGGAGGGGAGTCATCTTGCCAAGAACACGGGGACACATTCACTGTGGCGTACTCTGGTGACCGGCAGCACCATCAAGAGTCTGGCTGTCTAGTTCCAGGGAAAGAAACATCCGCAACCCAATGCGAAGCAATAACGACCAACCACAACCACGTCACTACTACCACCACCACCACCACCAACAACCACAAGCACTACTCGGGTTTTCCCCGCTGTTCACTTTGAGCCCTGCAGCTCGAAAGAAAAACACTTACATGGCATTACATGGCCACGTTTTTTTCTCAGGGTTTCTCAAGGCCTGCCCTCTCCGAAGTGGTGCTCGCCGGACGGCTCGGCCCGGCCAGACACGATGTGTCAGGCGAGAGGCCCCGACAGGTTCGGCCAACACCGTGCAAATGAAATCCATACGTACCAATCCTCCCCAAGGTTTGGGGATTGAACCAGTTCAGGAAAATTTGTGCTTGATGCAGGCAAATGAAGCCTTGATGGAGCCCGCTGCGCGTGTTTTTGCAGCTCGAGGCGCCGTTCTCTGCTTGGCGAGAACGCCAAATGAGACCATTGAAGAGCGTAGGCAAAAGATCTGGGCCATCGGTGCAAATCCTGGATTTGGAAAATGGATCAGAAGTGTTTGAAAGGTTGTGATCAGTTTTATTTATATAGTGTGTAAAATGTGTTTTTTTCCATAGGGTTTGTGAAATTGTGTGCTAGGATGGTTCATGCACTTGTTGCAAAAATCCATACCAAAGAAACATTTCATGAAATGGGTCTGGTGCAATGGCACTTCCAACTGGCTCAAATGCAGGCGCTCTGCTAGCCAACTGGCACCCTTGCCTTTCAAAAGTCCTGGACTCAGCATAAACAAACCAGCAGAAGTTTCCGGGTGGTGTTTTGGGAAACTCCTAAACCCTAGGCCTCAAGAAAAAGATATGACAAGGCTATCAAGGCGAAGTCCTTCTTTCCCTGATCAAGTGTCTGCACAGTGCATGCCCAAACCCTCCAATAATCGAGTCTTCTGGCTCTGAAAGCTGCCCCCAACGCAGCCTCCAACTCGCGACCTCTTGGAGGATCATCTTTCAAAGTCGGTCCTCTTCACGATATCCGAATGCCGGATGAAGAGCGCTTCCTGGGGGAAGCAGGGCAGCACAGGACGAACACCGACGTGTCTGGACGAGGACGAACCCTTCTGGACTCGACAGTCTCGCAGGCACCAACGTGACTGTCAGTTGCCAGATGTTGCCAGGGGACGATTCGACGGAGTCCTCTGGTCACCCTGGTCCTTTCACCAGATGACCAAGACAAGTCGTCTCCGCACGGCTGATGCACGGCTGATGCACGGCTGGGCACACGAGAGACGTGTGGCCTTTTTCTGCATCACGAGGTTGCGGCAAACCTACTCCGAACGGCATGGTCTGGTGCTCCAACACCAGAGGCCCATACCAAGGGATCCACCAAGGGATCCGTCCGAATTCCAGTCTGCATGAGTGTTTCCCCTCCCCCCAGCGTTGCAGCGCTCATCGAGCACCGAGTACGTGTCGTGGCACTGTTCGTCACACGGGTTTCCCCAACGGAACGTGCCTGGGAACCCATTCACCTGCGCAGCTGTGAAAAAGCACCTGCTCCGGTGTTTGCAAACTTGAATGTAGGCTCTTGATGATATTTCACCCACCCCAAGTGGATTCAATCACCTCTTCCGATGGGGACTCCTAATGGGGGTAGTTTAACTCGGCATTCGGATGACACCCAGCAGGACAGTGCGATGAGTAGACTTACCCAAACGCGACCCATGGGACTGGCGTTGAAGTCGGGGTCAATGTAGCCATGTATTACATACATGGAGCATCTGGGATACTTATGGAGGGGGCCCTATATGCAACAAAGTGGAAGTGGTATGCGACAAATCGGATCATTTATATTAGAGCTATAGGCTATAGTAACTCCTCCGTATCTAACAAGTTCCTCCGTATATCTAACAAGTGGCCATCACCTCGAAACAAGGGTGATATCGGTGATATCAATTGTTGCACCAATACCATGCATGCTGAATGTTGGTGATCACCATTCCAAACTCCAAACTCGTTGATCACAAGTATACGGATCTACAACCTCTTCCAAGCTTCCATGGCGTAGTAGTAGTGATCTCGATCAGCCCGAATGGTCAGGAGATCAAGCAAAATGGCCTCTGGTCCCGCCAATTCCATCGATGTCTCGTTGCCAAAAGGGGATGTTTCGCACGAGTTCGGATTCGACACAACGAGGTTTCAATGCACCTGGTCCCCAAACAAAATACGTGAATACTGTTTGCACAACATTTTTAAACGCGGAGATACATCGACTATTTTGGAGCCTTTGAGTGTGGCATCTCTGAAGATTCTTAGTATCACCCGGAATCCGACCAGGCCCGACACCTTGGCACGGGTCAGGCCTTCTCCACTCACAGGGGACGGTGAACCCGTTGGTTCGGGCCCGGATTCTAAGGGTAGGACCCCATTTGCGGGATGGAACCCTTCGCATGACACCGCGGGATGGATGGCGATAGTTAGTACACTTACTGATGGAAACTGAAAAGGGTCCGACCTGGATCGCATACCCCTTTCTGGACGGCTTCGACTGCCAGCGATGCATGTTTGTTAGCGTCGTGGAGGCGGACCAGGAGAACAACACAAAGAAAGTCAATCTGGGGCACTAGCCTATGGACATTCTGTCAAGTGTATGTTGGAAGCTGCCCCCTCCATGTCGCTTGATGGATCAACAAAAAAAACAATGCTTGGGGCGATGCCCTGCACGGTCGCAATGTAGATGAATAAGCCCCCCCGTATCAAGAGGTTGTTCAATTCAAATGGGGCAGGTTGTGATTCATTATGAGTCCCAACACCACCTTCAGGGGGGGGTTCTATATCAGGGGGGGGTCTATAAATCACCCGACTTGGGTGGTGCTGGTCTCCATGTCTTGAGTCCCAAGTTTGGCAAGCCAGCCATAAACCTGGGAAGCCAGCCAGTCATATTCCCCAGGTTTGGGGGATTTCACCATCAGGATCCACAAGGAAAATAACACACCTGATCAGCAAAACCTGTTGTTCACCATGTCTTATGCTTTGCGACCCTGACTCCTTCCGAGCCCAAGAGGGGCCAATGTGAAGTTCGTTCATCCCCAACGAGCAACTAGTTCGTGGGGTGCACCCAGTCACCCCCCCAAAGGTGACCTGCAGGTGATCCACATACTTCCTGGGTCGTTTTGGGAGCCCCACCCTCCAGCGGCTTTAATCGGCTGTCACCCCGCAGCGGCCTCGGCAGCCTCCAGACTTCCACTTTGAATGCTCCAGAGGAGCGGAGAGATCGATTGAGTTCCTGAGGCGCAGGTCTCGACCCGTCCGATGCCGGGCCTCCAACCCCCTCACGGGTTGGGTCGGTGACACCTCCCGCTGGGTCGATGCTTTTCGCGAGCGGGCTCGGGCTGGGCTGGGAGCGGGCTCGAGTAAAGAATCCAGCAAAAGCCACATCGTAGTGCTAACATCTGATGGGTGGAAAGCATCAAGCCCACTACACACTGAGGTCTCAAAGCAAAAAATGATCTGGATAAGATGAGGATGAGGCGCAGAAAATCGTAGACAATGCATGAGGACGATTAGGGGGGGTTGATCCAGGGGTAGGAAGGCACCTTCAACACTTACCAGTAGCTCCCATTTTGCAGCAATCTTGCTGCATCTTGCTGCTATACCTGGATCTGCCAACTGTGCAAAAGTTCTACCGTTTCATCTAAAAAACCAGCCAAAAAACTGATGACAAAATTGCATATAGTTGAAAGATCCAGGTATACAAACGATTGCTAAATTGATCTAACTTGCATGTGCTAAATGCGCTCCTTGTTACGATCAAGTGCGGAGCTGGTGGGGTGTGGTGCTGGTGGGTAGTGGGTCGGCTTCATCGGGCATCGACGCGGCATCGCTGTTTGAGACGCAGTCCCGTCAGCGTCCGCCCCCAACGCGACGGCGGGACTGCCATAGGGCCAAGAAAAGGCCAGGGGTGGTTGACTGGGGGTCAATGGGTATATGGCAGTCCCCATGGAGTGTCTGGGTGTTGCGGCTGGCAAATGTGGCACTGCGCCAGCGAAGGACACGTTCTGTGTCGAACCTACGAGGGGCCCAAGAAAAAGACTCCGTTCATAGAGCCGGAAAACGCATGGAATGGGCTTCCCAATGGAATGCGTGGAGGCCCCAGGACTGAAAGCTACCTGAAAGTGACATCCAGTGGTTTCCCAGAACTTCCGTTTTGACTCATTCTACTCCACCTGGTAGTCATCCACCACTACCATAGAGGCCATAGAGTAAAATGAGTCATTTGGACTCTGGACTCGCAGAGGAAGGACGGTGAGTCCTTCCACCTCTTCCAATACGAGAGCGGTGAGCGAACCAGACCCAACTTCGCTGCGAGAACGAGAGTCGTCCGGACGAAGGCCCCAAAGCATCCATGTATGGAAGAGTCACCTACATGTGCATGGGTGGTCTTACATGCGTAAATGTATGTAATTAACTACAGGTAACTAGAATTCCATACATTATGGTCTGGGAGTGTGGAATGGGGGACTTGGAACCCTTCGCTTTGGGTCATCCTCCGAATGAGGTGCCGAATTATAAACGCCTGACAATGTGTGCTTCTGATGACGCTCCGACGAAGGAAACACTCGCAAAAATTCAGCATCTACTTCCGTAGACTATCCATGCATCATCCAAGGCTAGATGCCAGCTGGAAAAATATTAAACCATGACAATCTTCCACAGCTCTTTGACATGAGCATGGATGACCATCTGGTAAAACGACGATAATTCAGAATTTTTACAAATAACAAAATCGAACATTATAGCATAATCCCAACTAAGGAATATCCTAGCATCCTATTCTATTTCATGTTGACCATTTTCTACTGTAAATGTGTTTGTGTGTCCGCCGTTTTCCAAGCAAAACCACTACAAAAGGGAAGCCTAACACCTGTGGGTCCGTGTAGCTGTAGTTTCAACGATCAGGTGCTGTCGAACTATCTTCAGCACAGTGTTTTTTTCTCAGTGGATTGTGTCATCTACTTCTTGAAACCGACATGACACACCTGGACCTTCCAACTAAGCTAAAAGATTGCCAAAGTCATGCCTTTTGCCTGGTTCTTTAGATGAAAAGGGCAAAACAAGGTTGCACTGTTGGCGGATCCGTATGCCGACACGCCAGAAGAACCAAACCCCAAACCCGTTTTTTAGACACGTTCGCCACTCCCCGAGGTCGGTGGTTCGCCCCCAACCCGGATTCTTCGAAAAGGCGCCCACTTGGATCTTCAGCATGCACTCTGCACGACTCCCTCTGGGAGCGATGCTGACGGCCTGTGCGTGGCGTGTGGGCGGCCAAGCCCGAACGGTTGCGTTCCAAAAAGGGTGTTCTGTCCGGAAGTCACATGGAAAGTGGATGGCATGGTCGAGGTTAGATGGCACTGGCACCGCTTGTGATGAGGATCCATTTGAACCACCGTTTTGGGGATTGTGCCATCCAACCTCTGAAACCACACTAAAAGCTCGGGACTGAACAGGGGGGACGCTCCTAAGGCCTAACGACTCCCGCCGTGGTTGAGTCTACTGCGGGTCAACTGTAAGTCGAGTCGCCCAGCAACGCTGTGGTGGGATCGTCTTGCATCAAGCCCGCAGCTTTTCATCCGAACATCTCTGAGGCATCCCCTTATTGAATCGAAAAGCAGCAGCCCAATGCAGGCCCAAGAGGCCTCATCTTTAACTCTACGTCTCCCCTCTTTTAGCTCTCTCAGGTTGGTGGCCGCATCTTGGCAATCATCTCTAGTAGCCGTTCATCAACGTTCCAAGGTTGGTCCAAGGAAACATCAGGCCGCAGTCGGATTTGCCTTATCGACGTCCTCCGCGTTCGGCCAACATGGTACCATGATGCCCCCATGATGAAACCTCTTCTTGTTTTCAACCACACCACCTCCTCCCCCGTTGGTCAGGCGCTCTCCCTTCGCCGCCCTTCGGCCACGTGCTCCGCACCTTCCGCAGCATCTTCGCGCAGTTGGCATTGATGGCGCGCATCACGAGGGTCGAGCCTGGCCCCGACGATCGGGATTTGCTTGTCGCGCGGAACCTAGAACCACCCGAAAAAATACCAGAAGGGGATTTATATGATTTAACCCTAGGGATCCATAGGCAAAATACAAAAATTTAACCTTAATCAGTCAGGATCTTGGCCGTTGAGGGTTGACCCTGGTGCGGCTTCAGGACCGTTCCGGTCGCCCATGGACGAACTGGCCCGTGCTACAAGACGTGACCGAAGCGTCCCGAGGTCGGAAGAAGAGACACAGAACCAAGCGATGGGGCCAGAGGATCTCCCTATACCGACGGGCTCCAGTCGTAGCTTCGTTTCGAAGGGGACTGGGGTGGGTGCCATGTTCGGGTCCAGTCATACCTTCTGAGGCACGACTGGGGCCCTAGGGTATATCATCCTCTATCAAAAGGTACGTCCACATCATGACACTGTCAATCACAAAGTCCCATTTCAGGTGGTACTGAGCGGGGTCAACTTCTATCGATGACCTGTGGCATGAAGTGTTGGTAAAGTTTGGCGCGGGCCCTTCTGAGACAAGAAACATGGGGGTACGTGCTACTTCTATCAAGGTGGCCATTGATGAAATATTGACGAACAATTGAGGTGTGTCGACTGCTACTCCCACGAATAGGGCAAGAAAACATAAGAAAACACCGACCATATAGTGAGATTGCACGTCCATTGCAAAAAAAATCTGAAAGCCGAGAGATATTGCCACTACCTATGCCAACATGCGCCAACCTTCGCCCCGTCGCCCGGACCGTTACCCGACCTTCAGTGATGGTTCGGCACAAAACGCCTCGGCCGCTGTGGTTCACCGGCAGGTCTAAAGCTCCCCAGCACTTCAACGGGTGCTCTGTCTGGAGACCTGTAAGTAGGGTAGGGTAGTCTATTGGACACCCATTGGAGGATCCTGGTCTAAAAGGAAAAAAGCAAAAAGGCCTGTGAACTCTGCAAACAGAACGCGATTTTGCCTTAGCCTTCAGCATCATTCAGCTATGTGTCCTTTTTCTCACCCGGGCGGGGGTATGGCAGTCAGCTCAAAAAGTTCTCGCACTTGTGATCCTGCAACCTGTCCTATAGGGATCCAAGTACCTTCTCAGGTGATTGGAGACACTGTCATGTAGTTTGGAGGGTCCAAGTACCTTCTGAGAAGGGTACGACTGGATCCCTAGAGTGTGGAAGTGAAGTGACTCACTGTACCAATGGCCATGTCCAATGTGTGCCGGTGAGCGGCCCTAGCAGTGGGGGTCTCCACTGAGACGAATCACAGCTGGGAACAGCTTCAGAAGCTGCTTGTACGGCCCCCCCAAGTAACCTCATGGATCTTAGCCCAAGAATCCTTGGGCCCAACACCTTCGCAGGGGTCCGGACCTTCACCAAACCCTATGTGTTGTTTCGCAGGGGATCACATTCGCATTTGTTCACATCCATGTGAGGACCACCTGGGCCCGACCGCAGGCCACCGTTCGGCCATGTCTCGGATCTCAGGCAACCCTCACCGAAGGCACTCACCAACCCTCACCGCGTGCGACCTCACCGCGTGCTCGCACGGAGCACCACCGAGGCACGGGAGATCAATCCAATGGACCAACGGAAGGCTTCCTCCTGGTCGGGCACCTTGGTGATCTCCCTGCGGTGCGCGAACTGGTCAGCTCGGTGGAGTTGAGTGAGGGGCCATCAGCGGGAAAAAGGGTCTTGTCGTGACAGGGGGGAGAGAGAAACAGGCGAAGCAGACCTGATCCACTGAATCTGAAAAATCTTGCATTGGACACCGCATCCAGTGGTCAAACTCCACTGTGATGCATGGCCCTTGTCTTTGCTGATCTTTGGCTGGTGAGATTGCTGGAATATGATCCAAATCAACTCTTATAAGTCTATAAGCCTGCCACACTCCAACTGTGTCTGCACTTTTTGTGCAGAGAGGGGTTGCAGCTCAAGCACTGAAACCTCTTTGGAGGGCTTGACGGATGAACTTGGACTGCCTCTCCCTCACCCAAACCCCAAACATATGATCCAATGCACTAGTTGTACATGGCCTTGGTCCAAAAAAAGGTGCACCACTTGCCTGGGCGATTCCACTGAAAGCGGTGCACCGCTTTGTGATGAGCACTGGGCTACCGGGGTTTCTAGGCATCGCCCAATGACGGCTCCTACTCAACGATCCCTTTTTGGAGTTCCAAGCTGTTCCCAGTGTCAAGCGACCCTTGCCGACCCTTCTCGAAGAACGGTAAACGAATAAAACATGTGTCGACACATATCACATGGAGCACAGATTCTCAAATTGGAGTTTCGGTTCAATCTGGGAACCCAAATGAATAGTGCGAGCGCTTCTTCAAGGAAGCTCCCCACCTGAAGCGTGAGCTATCCTGCGTCCAGTAGCTAGGAGTGAGGGCCACGGGCTAAGAAAGAAAAGGTTCCACTTCCACACCTGAAGGCCCTATAGGGAGTACCCTTCCAGCTGTGTTAGGCCTTCTTCCACTCCGCTTGCCACCCCGGACTCGAGAGCCTGATCTGTTCAATGGCCGCACTCACAAAGGGGCCAAAGAGCTCGGTGGGAATGCCGTAGCCCACATGACGCAGGCCAAGGGCACCTCTCTTTACAAAAGACCGACGCGGACCGGGTGGGGTCAGTCTCACCCGTCTCACAGTATGCCAAAAACCATCCCAAAAATACACTGCTGCGTGGTGTCAGGTCACCTACTTGAGCATCTGAGACCTTTGATGCCCACAGGTCTTTAAGGTTCAAATCCCTTTTTGCTCGCATGGTACTTGCCACTAGGTATTATATTTATATATTATAGATACCTCTCAGTACTTTGTATCTTCCGCCCACCCGTTTGCTGCAGCTATGAGAAGTGAGGAATTTCTGTATAGGAGCCCCCCTTTCAGCCAATGGAACTCCTCCGCATACCAATTTTGCTCGGTCGAATGTTCTGCCCAAATCGGTCCGATGCCAGTGAGCACGGACCGATTCTACATGTAAAACACACACAACGGGCGTTTGACTTCAAAGCTTTGACTAGTGGCAGTGGTGAACTCCCTAGAATATATAGTTAAAGACAAACTTAGACAAGAGTTGACCCCACACTGGGGTCAAATCTTCGGGCTTTGCCATCTGGGCTCCACTCACCTCGCTGGCCTCTCCCGGTCTCCCTGCTCCACACGTCCGCCCCTCTCGTCCGGGTCTCGTCTGTGCTCAACTCCCAGGGGCTCAAGTCGGTCATCACACCTTTTGGATCTTTAAAGATCTCCTGGCGCCGAGGTCCCGCGCTGTCCCGCGACGCGGAGAGCACGGACGGAGAAACCGGGCGAGCTGGCCGGAGCCAAGCACGGCACGGTGCTGCTGAACTGGGGGAAGGCCCAAGGTTGGGCGCCGAAAAGGGTGAGGAGGCGAGGATGTGGATGTGGCATAGGATCAAACGTTTAATTGTCCTTGGACACCCCGAAAAAGATCGAACCACACCGTGGGGATTCGGGGATCATGGATTGGACTTTCAGTGACGGTTCGGAAGGGTCCATGACTCGCAAGTCAGGGGCAAGTAGGGGCTCCTTATTCCAATACAGACTTGGGAACTTCGACTGGGCCCACCTTTGAGCATCCATCCTCGGACTTTCGTGGTCAATGACCCGTCAAACACCTGGCCTCATCAGGCCTCAAGCCTGAAATCGATCCCATCTTTAAAACACAGGGGCGTATCTAGGGATGGTCTGGTTCGAGCAGCTTCACTACTGGGGAAAATGGATCCAAGATGATCCATGTTGGGTCACCCTGGCTGGATTCGAGGGACCTCTACTTGACATTTTCAAACAGAATCCACCTGGATCAACATCCATCAATGTGGCTATCAAATGCATGGATGGTGATTTCCATTGGGGATCTATGCTGCAAGCCAGCTGCAAACTTGGAAGTGTGCCTGCTTAGTTCACACCGCCACGGGCAAAGCTCCCGCGCCTGTGTGAAATTGATCATGCGATCGGCAATGAAGTGCAAGCGGGTAGAGGACCTCAAGTGGTCAGGGGGGAAGAATTCACTGTTTCCTGAGCTGTTGCCTAAACAAAGGGTGTCAACCAAGCACTGACCATGCAACTTACAGAATTGATGCTAGAAGTTGCTAGCAAGGGCTGATTGTCACGTTTTTCGTTCAGGGACAGGAACAATCTATAAGCAGACTCGTGTGAGTGGCCATCTTTCCCTGTGCATGTTTGCAACAGCCGGTCCGGCCTTCGGACGTGTCACTTGAACTTGTCACTTGAGCTACACTGGCCTTCGATTCCCTGATTTACAGATTCGTAAAACCTCTGATGGGCACTGGTCCCTCGGCCAAGCCGCATCCCGCCTCGCCTCGGCCCTTCCAAGCCTCGCCACCCCGACCGACTGACCTTTAGGTGTCTCCAAGTGGCTGCTTGAAGTAGTCCTGTCCCTGCGCACATTTCCTCAGCACGCGACAGGTCGCTCCAAGTCAAGGCGGAGGCGGAGGCGAAGCGGAGACGACGATTTGACCGTTTTGGGACACATGTTTATCTCCAGCGGAGCACTTGACGCCTTCACTTATGGCCATGGCGCATAGTTAGAAGAACACACACACAGAAAAGGCCTTCAATATGTTCCCTTCCCTTCGATCTTGCATCCAGGATGCAATAAACATTGGTTTCCTTTCATAAACTAAGTGCATTACTTTTTAACACCCTTAGCAGAAGAGAAAAGACAAAGAAAAACAACAAACTTGAACAACCTGTCAGAAGGAAAGCAGTAAACTTACAAAGCCTATGAGGCACTCGTTTAGGAACAGAAATTCCTCAACGGGAACGCAAAAAAAATGAGCAAACAGTATCCCAAATGCTTCGTTGGCCCCTTGAAACCACCCCAATGTATATAGTGCGTGGAGCATCTGGGTGTTGGATTTGGCCAGTGCACATCAGTGAATCCTCCCAACAAATGCCCCGTTCGGTTGCAAGTTGCGACATATCTGGTCATTCTACATGTCCCATGCTCACTGGACTGACCAAAAAAAATGTCTCATCAGCCCTTCCTTGCAGTGCATGACTCTCAAAGAAGGTCTTGTAAATGCCCGTGCGGACAGCCTCCAGTTGCTCCTCTGTGATCGTGGAGTACCTCACCGAGGAGGCGAGCCTCTGAGTGGCAAGTTCGCGAGGAGGGATATAAATCATATTATATAAAACCCTTTTGTGCCACCTTTAGCCAACGCCAAGGGTGTTCCGCAGCCCCGAACATCAACGAACTAAACCTAAACTGTCACGTAAAAATCCAACTCGGGCGTGGCTTCTACGGCTTCAGGTCCGATGTCGGGCGGCCTTCGGACAAGTTCTCCGAGGAGCAGCTTCCTTAGAGCCTTCTGCTGGACTTGGGGCTTCCCGATGTTTGCCTTCCTCGGTGGAGAAGCATCTCGGTGGTTTTCCTCCTCTTCGGCCATGGAGACCGATTTGGTTGGTGTGCTTTGACAGGAGCATAGTGCTCGAGAACGGGCGAGCAGCTTGCCATCATCTACTGCCATTGCCATCATGGGTGGGTCATCACTGTGAGATAAGTAAGAAAGTTCAACAACATGAGCCATGCTCAGTGGGGATGAGCATTGCCTCCATCCTTCAAGTATAGGTTTAACTAGGTTTCATTCAACATGAATGACGGATCTCCAAACCACCGTGCCGCCAGTTCTGAATGAATGTGTCGAACAAAATGAAAAAACTGTATACTCAGCGCCCCACGGTTCCACAAACTGAGGCCATAGACCTAGACATGCCGATTTCCTTCTTGAGTGCTGGTACACTGACTAAACAGCTTCTAATCTGCCCAGAACCGCGCGCGCCACGTGGCGCCCACATCACCGAAAACCGCCCGCGCACCGCCTCCACCGCCTGCCACGTGATGCCACGTGGCAGCATACGTTCGAAGCTTCCCCAAAGCCAAGTCCAGGCCACTTCGCACTCCTGAATCATCCAGGCGACTTCGCCAAACTGTTTGCCAATCATGGCGCACAACTGGTGGCATGAACCACGTGACAAAAACACCAAAACACCAAGCTAATGGATGCCAGCACAAAACATAAAAGTATACCCAATTGAATGGTATTGGACCTTGTTGGAGGTTTTTTTTGTAGGGAGACGTCTTTTTTGGATCTTCCTATTCCTCCAGAGGACTCCAGCTTCTGATTTGGCTTCGGGGCCGGATGTCCAACGACGCGCCGTGCGTGACACCCGCTGGTCATTTGGCCCTCCTGAATGCCACCCGCGCCAGGCGTTTTGGTGGTGATGGGTGCTTGTTTTGTGCATGAAAACCGCGCCACCACATCAACTTAAATTTGGTAAAGGAACCGGGAAAAAAGAACGGTTTGGGGATTGACCTAGTTCGGGAACATGAACAAATCACATGCATCGAATGCCAAACCAGGTCAACCAAAGAAGCAAAGTCGGGTATTTCAGCCCTGAAAGGCTCACCACTCCAGTTACTCTACAGCTCCGGCAACTGAGCGTGCAGCTTTCAGAACAGGACATACAAACCCAAATGGCCATGGGTCAAAACCGAAGAATGTTTGTCCCACCAACAATGAACTAACAAGCTTGACATGGTCAACACTATGGTCAACCTATCAGGGTGAGTTTCCGGGCAACCCGAGTATGATGACCTGCCGACTTCCACCGGGCTTTTCGTCCGTCCGTGGGGGCCCACGTTCATGGAATGAGCATTCTGCGCGACCCACGAGCCCGAAAGTGGTGTGCTGGCGACCTCCGACTTCCGGCCGAGTCCGGCGGGCCGAGTAAGGCCACGGCACTGAGTTCCAAGTCTTTGGCAACAAGGAGCGCAAGGACGCCTCAGAGCGCTCAGGTGCGCGCGCCCCGGCGCCCGTTACGCTCGCAAGCTGATCCGGAGGGTAACGGTGCGACCGATGTGAGCTGTTGAAACCAAAGGTGGCCAGCAACGTTCGTGAGCAAAGGTGGGGCACGTTCGGGGGGGCACCCCCGCGGCGCTGAAGTTACCACGGCAGCAAGGGCCCAAGGGGGTTTCTACACAGCGGGGACGGAGGAATGGGCTCCATGAAAGTTCGTTTTTTCTTGTCTGTCCCGATCCCGGTCACGGCAGAACAGCTGCTTCGCAGAACGACAGCGATGTCTGATGTACATTGGACCGATGCCGGATGAACATGAGGGACGAACCGCAGGTGTTGGGGGCTCCTAACCACGACGCGTCCGTTTCTCTGATCCTTTTGACGTGCATCCGACGCGTTCTTTTTGCGTAAAAGACGCCAAAAGCACTGCTTTGAATTCCAAGAACTCGATCTGGTGACCACGCATGTTCACCTGGCGGTCTAGACAACATGGTGAACGGCGAAGGGACGCGTTGTTTCTTCGTTTTGGTGGGTCCTAAACCTTAAGCCACTCATGCCGTGGTTGTAGTTGCTGTTGCCAGAACTTGGAAGAAGTGAACGTCACTGCCGGCCATGCACGACAGTTCACGAAAGAGCTGCCAGTTCCAAGCTTGGCTTGATGAGTTTACAGTTTACTTTATATAATTACAAATTACAACAAGGGCCTTACAAAAAGAACATGTTAAACCAAGCTCAAGTCGGAGTGTTAAGTGTTTTTGTTCGTCCTCTAGTGGATACCATGGACAACGAGCCACCGGCAAAAACCGTTGACCATCGTTGACCAACCAAATCCCCTGCATTGACGTTGTAGTCTAGTCAGGACGGGAACATTCAGCTGAAGAAATACGATTCCACCAGCGTACACGGGAGTCATGGGGATTCAGGGAAACCTGTTCCGGTGGTGCTCAAACTCCACTCCGCAGGCAGCGCAAACTGCGTGAGCGAATGCAGTGTCCGACTGGAATGCTGAGGTGTTTTTGTCCCACCCCTCCATTAGGAGTCTCGACATGGCTTCCATCACTGAATTAGGCTATCAGGTTGGAGGCCATCGCTACTGGGTTTGTTTACAGTACTAAGGCTTTCAACCGAAGGTTTTGGAGCTGGGCCACCTGGGCTGGGTTCAACGATCAGAACTGAATTATGTTTGCCCCAAGGCCAAGGCGTGAACATCGAAATGGAACACCACCTGGCTTGTAGAGGAAAACGGTGATCCAAGGGATTCGGCCAAGCATGGCCATGCCACCCACGGCCCCATGATGCTCTTTCAAAGGGTGTAAGACAACCCGGCTGTTGAGGGGTCTTTATTACATATACCAGTCCGTCATGCGGGATATGAACACTTATTGACTATTCGAGTGCTTGATTCAGTCACTCCTACACCCACGATATGTATCGTATTATAAAACTCGAGGTAAAGGGTTCGGAAGTCAACATTGGGAAACAAGCCAAGCCTCCTGAAGTTCCAGTCCGCATCACCCCTGGGGATTTCCACAAGTTCTCCAAGCAAAAAGAACCTCCCCAAGTGTCAAAAGGTCAACCAGAAGTTGCTGCCTCATTCAATGCTTCGAAGTTCCCCCCCCGCCCCTTTTGATCCCCGCCCACGGCCAGCCACCCTCCGACTCAGACAGCCACCCTCTCGCTTCACCCGATCCGCCTTGCTGAGCACAATGGAGAGGACATCCGCCTCCTCCATCACACCTCGAATCTTTCGGTCTCACGGAGTGGCACCCTGTGACGCGTCACACGGGCGGCCAAGTAAACACACTTTCGGCCGTGTGACGCGTCGTCAAGGGTGCGGGTCACAGCGGTCAGACCTGAGCAGTCATCCATAGCCTAGGAATCCAGCTGTACCGAAGTTTAGGTGGGACTGGGGGCCCGGGTGCCATTGTCGGGTCCAGGTGCCGTACCTGAGGTTCGGTACGACTGGATCCCTAGGGAGAGCTTGTTTCCGGTCTGACCTAAGATCCGCTCGACCCTTTTCAGAAGCTTTCGCACACCGAGTTTCACCGTGTCGACGACGTGCATCACGGCGGTCCCAGCCTTTTTCCGGGATGTGTGACGGCACCATGCCTGTCGTTTCCGGGATATGCTTAAGCCAACCCCCAGAGGGGAAACCTACAGTCTCCCATCCGGTGACTTTCTTTGCCTCCCAGGAAGTGGGAATGGGGGAGGATGCTCTTCCTTTTCACCTTCCATTCTGGCCATTCCCCCAGGAACCTGGACTTGTACCAGTTCGGGAACCGAACCAACATCAGCCAAACCCACGGCCCCCTCTGAAACAGCCCACCCAACCGCGGCTGCCGCCCGCTAGCCCGCCCGTTCCCAGCGGCGAGTAGGCTCGGTGGCGTGAACCACCATCGTGTCGAAGACGTCCAAGACCGGAGCCATCCATTCGCTATGGCCATAGCCTGTGTTTCACAGGGGGGTTGGCCTTTCGCGTCTTTCGCGCGACGCGTCTCACGCGACGCGAGACGCGACGCGTCTCACGCGACGCGACGTGCAACTCAGAGTGAGCGGCTTTTTTTTGACCCCCAGTTCGAAGCAACGGGGGAGTTCGCTGTTCGCTGTACCCCAAAACAAAGGAACCGATCGACGTGTCAAAGAGGTGAACATGGCACTGGCACCCCCCCGATGTCAATGTCAGAAATAGGGGGGTCCATATCAAGCACCGACCTTGGGAGTCACTTGTGCCACATGTAGCTTGGACCCTGCGAACGAGTCAACTACTCCAATAAAATTAAGTCATTGACTTGTAGGGCATATTTCCATGCATAAGACCCAGGAGCCTTGAGGCATCAACACACCCTACCACACCTGTCATCCACAGTCCACGTGCCAAAAGCCCGCCAAGCTCATTAAAACAGGATCCACTGACTTGACACAGACCCTTAGCAAAGCTATGTTCACAATCTTGTTCCTTCCCCTCTCTAGTAACTTCAATTGAAACCATCCGAAAAGTAGCACAATCATAGCACAAGTCACCCCAATGAGGATCACTTGCTGGCACTTTCCAGGTCCAAGTGGCCCATCACTGTGGCATTGAACTTGAACATCTCCTCGACGGGTGAGTCCCATGGAGCATGGCGGCTTGCGATCCACGCCATGGGTGTCCGTGCCATCGACGACACACATCACATGCGAGGAGAAAACACCAACATGAATATCCCAAAAACTGTCTGGAATATTACAGTCATGGAAATATGTATACCTTTCCAAATCCTGTATATATCTATATAGACGAACCCCTGGAAACTGTATGGACATTTATACCTATGAAATCCTGGTATACATCTATATAGACTGACCCCTGAGGGCCCTGTAGTTCAAGACTGGCAGTCCGTATGAAGTGTGGAACATATTTTTTGCAGCCAAGCGCGCCGGGAAGGTCGTCGGGACCTTGTTCTTGCCGATGCCTCGTGGTCGTCGGGCTTCGTTTCGGTCGGATCGGAGGGTGTTCCACCTGTACACATGTCAAATGGATGCATCCAACCAAAAGGTCGAACTAAGGCACAAAGGTCGAAAAAAACACCAAAAATTGTGATAAAGATACAACATGTCACGTGTGAGGCAAATCACTGGCTTCCTCTAGACCTTAAGAAAGATCAATAGATGGATCCAAATCCCAGACACGACCGATGGGACTGGCATATGTACCTCATTTTGCCTAGATTGGGGTGGTCTGGGGGGTGAACATAGGCAAATATGGCATACCAGGATTTCGGGAAATTGAGAGCGACGTTGGGAGGTGGAAGTCTCCAGATCTTTTATATCGTACCTTCCCCCCATTCCCAGGGAGTGCAGCGCCTCAGGGAACTGCAACTCTGGACTCTGAATGTCAACCCCTGATGTACCCATGCTCACTGTATAACAAGCCATCGTTCCGGTCGTGTCCTGATCTATTTTTCGCTTTGGCGATGGTATTTTTCGTCATCCGTGACGACTGCGGAAACAACATCTGCGACGCCTCAGGACTGCCACAAATCATTGGAGCCAGCTGTTGTATAGAGAGGGAGAGAATCATCCATACAAGTCTAGGGACATGGTGACTATAATAGTTGTTGTTTGCAGTGTATGAATGCTCCTTATGTTTAAAACTAAACTATCCTATATACTATATATATATATATATACATGAAGGGACGCAGGCTGGACTGACCACAACTATGGGCGCGAGTGGCTCAAGCGATATTGCCTCCCTGGAACGAATGGTTTGGGCCTATTTGGACCCTTTTCTGGGACCAACCCCGTCTTGCGTGGCAGTGAAGAAATGCAACAAAAAGAAGGAGACGTGATCCGGAGAAGCTCCAAGACAGGATCGCGAATCACGAAGCACGAATCACGCTCAGGGTCAGGGGTCTCAATGTTAGAGGGACAGACGACGAATCACGAATCACGCTCGGGGTCAGGGGTCTAAAGGATAGAGGGACAGACGACGAATCAAAGGGGCAGCACTTTGTTACCCTAACATGCAGATTTCGTGGCAGGTGCAGCATTTTCTGAACTCTGAAATGCAGATTTCGTGGCGAGCACAGCACTTTGTGCAGATTTCGTGGCGCGGGCAGCACTTTGCGAGGTTTCAAGTGCAGATTTCGTGGCAGGGGCAACACTTTGTGAACTCTGAAAATGCATATTTCGTGGCAGGTGCAGCACTTTGTGAGCTCTCCTTTGTGAGCTCTCAAGTGCAGATTTCGTGGTAAGGGCAGCATTTGCTGAACTCTGAAGTGCAGATTTCGTGGCAGGGGCAGCATTTTCTGAACTCTGAAGTACCGACTTCGTGGCAGGAGCCACACTTTGTGAGCTCTGAAGTACAGATTTCGTGGCAAGTGCAGCACTTTCGAAGCACGAGTCACAGGTACAGCACTTTGTGAACCCTGAAGTGCAGATTTCGTGCCAAGGGCAGCACTTGGTTGACCCTAAAGTGCAGATTTCGTGGCAGGTGCAGCGCTTTGTGAGCCCTCAAGTGCAGATTTCGTAGCAGGGGCAGCGTTTTGTGAACTCTGAAGTGCAGTGGCAGGCGCAGCACTGTGTGAGCTCTCAAGTGCAGATTTCGTGTAGGGGGGCAGCATTTTCTGAACTCTGATGTGCAGGGGTGAAATTTAGAGAAGGAAGTCACCCTTTTGGTGAGCCACCCGAGGGTAAAATTTAGAGAAGGAGGTGGCCATGCCAAGTTGACTCACCCTTTTGTGGGCCATGCAGGGGTAGAATTTAGAAGGAAGTGGCCCTTCCAAAGTGGACTCACCCTTTGGTGAGCCACCCGAGGGTAAAGTTTAGACAAGGATGTTGCCATACCCTTTTGTCGGCAATGCAGGGGTAAAATTTAGAGAAGGATGCTGCCATTTCAACTTGACTCACCCCTTTGTGTGGGCAATGCAGGGGCAAAATTTAGAGAAGGAAGTGGTCATTCCAACTTGACTCACCCTTTTGTGGGCAATGCAGGGGTAAAATTTAGAGAAGGAAGTGGCCATGCGACTCACCCTTTTGTGGGCCATGCAGGGGTAAAATTTAGAGAAGGATGTTGCCCTTCCAAGTGGACTCACCCTTTGGTGAGCCACCCGAGGGCAGAATTTAGAGAAGGATGTTGCCATTTCAACTTGACTCACCCTTTTGTGGGCAATGCAGGGGTAAATTTTAGAGAAGGAAGTGGTCATTCCAAGTTGACTCACCCTTTGGTGAGCTACTTGAGGGTAAAGTTTAAACATTCGGGAAAGGGCCTGTGTGTGCACTTGAGTCCCCCCGATGGGGTGTGTGCGCGCTTGAGTCAACAAGTGTGTGCGCAGATGAGGCACAAGGGCTAATAACATGTGTGTGCGCACTTGAGTCGAATCCGTGTGCGTGGATGAGCTGCTGCCCGTCTGCAATGGGAGAGACGGAAGAGGCAACCCCTGTCAAACCTGTACCCAATCCTAAGAGACATGCAGAGGACAAGATGGAAAAGGAAAGGGAGATGGCAAAGACAGAGGAAGAAGTACAAGCGTAGATAAGAAGAAAATCACATGCAATTTTGTTGCCAAAGGGAAATGCACTTAGCGAAAAGGATGTCCATACAGCCACAAGAAGCCGAGAGCTCCATCAAGAAGTACCTCGCCTCAGGGTGAAGGGAAGGTCCCATGCTGGAACTGGATCAGGGGGAACTGCTCCAAAGGAAAGGAATGCAAATTCCACCACGACCCGAAGGCAGCGCCCAAGAGAAGTACATCTGCAGCAGCGGATTCTGGTGATGACAAGCCCAAACCGCAGGCTACACCAAAACTTAAAACCGAAGCCTAAGACGAAAACTGGTGCACCAGCAGTGGGGGACTCATTCTTCTTGGGCGAACCTGATGATGAAGGGATTGCAGCGAGTGTGAAGATAAATGACGTGAAGGATAATGACGTGAAGGATAGGAAGGTTTCATCCATGAAGACGTTGGTGAGATCATCCTCAACGAAGCTGTATACTCGGTCAGGAAAGTATGGAAACCTGTGATCAAGAAGCCATTGAGACCAGATATCAAGAGATATGAGACGGGGGAGGTTGCTCCATTCCCACCGAGAACCAAACAGATTTGATGCCAAAGTTGCGGGGGCAAGAGCTATTCTCATGACCCCGTATACAAGTATCAAAGAAGTTCATATTCCGGTTGGCCCGAACGGTGATGTTGCTATCGCAATGAGGTTGTTTTTGAATTCGAATTGCCTTTGCAAAGCTTTTTGAAAGGGAAAATCAATTGGGAAAAATATGTGTAATTCAAAATGCCTTTGAAAAGGCTTTTTCAAAGGGAACATCAATTAGAAAATTTGTTTTAAAAAAGATGCCTTGGAAAAGGCATGTTCAAAGGGAAATGAATTGGATTTGTTCAATTAAAATTGCCTTTGAAAAGGCCTTTTCACAGTGAAAATCAATTAGGAAAATCGTGTTTAAATCAATATTGCCTTGGACAAGGCATTTTCAAAGGGAAAATCAATAGGATTTTTTCTATTCAGATTGCCTTTGAAAAGGTTTTTTGAAAGGGAAACCAAATTGGGAAAATCTATTGTTAGTTAAATTGCCTTTGTAAAGGCTTTTTCAAAGGGAAAATCAATTGAGACAATCTATTTTTAGTTAAAACTGCCTTTGAAAAGGCTGCTTAATAGGGAAACTCAATTGGGAAGCACGAATCACGAAACGAATCACGAATTACGCGGCTGGAGGCTTGAGTTCAACGAGAAGGCTGTTTAATAAAAATCAATTGAGAAGCACGAATCATGAATCACGAATCACGAAACGAATCACGAATCACGAATCACGAAACGAATCACGAATCACGAATCCCGAAACGAATCACGAATCACGAATCACGACGAATCATGAATCACGAATCACGAATCACGCGGCTGGAGGACGACTTCCGGATCACCACTCAAAAGAAGCAAAAACATGTTTTTGACGCATGATCCCAAGCACTTGCCACGAGGTCTTCCAAGAGTTTGTTGGTGTCGTCCATTCTATCCTGTGCCCTCCGTGTGCAAAAGGTTGTCCCAAACACGCGGTCCAGTCTGGCCTCCCATCTTGGAATGCTTGGTGCCTTTCCCCTCTTCCATGGAGGCAGTCATGGAGGCTGCAACTGAGGCTCCATTGCCTCCCTCCTGCGGCACGCAAAACGTCACGGCGTAAATAACGAGCCACAAGGTGCTGCAAGTCACAACTCCTTGTCAGCTGAATGAAGCAAATCCTGAAGAAAAAAGAAAACACACACACACACGGTGGCCCAAACACTATCAAACACTTACAGAAACATGTTACGCAGCCCCTCAAGTTTTCCCTTCAAATGCACTTGCAACACAACTTGCCAGCTTCAGTCCTGATGGTGCCCTGACTGCTCTGTTTCCTCCTCCTTCTTCCGCCAGCAGCAGAAGCCTGGCAGTTGAGAGGGGGGCCACGATGGGGAGTTTGTAGATTCCTGTACCCGCACTGGTTACTAAGTCCATGAGCACCCTGCCACGGTTAAATCATGCAGAAAAAATACTCATGAAGCATGTGGAATGGCCACTTATGTTCGTTTGAGGGGTTCATTCAGTAGTGCCCAGCTTGACTAGCAAAAAATATCTCGGCAGTGTCTGCCACACGACCTGAACGTCACCCTTTACGCGATGTTTCTACTTGTTACTTGTCCGTGAAGCTCCAACTCTGGTTCAAGCATGCTCAACAAACACAAAAAGTCAAAAGACACAACAAAAAATACTTACAAAGCTGCGCTTCGTCTCAAAGCCCGATGAACCGCAAAACAGCACTTGGAACTTCAGCCCAAACTCTGGCTCGAGGATGAACAAGCCCCAATTGCTAAAGGAAAACCGTCCAAAAGGGGCTCGTGAGCCATCCACTTCATGGAATCCTCCGAAGGCTGAGCTCTTTTCCTCGGGGGTCATTGGGTCCTACGCGGTCTTCGCTACCTCGCGATTGCGCCGCGGGCGATGGCGAGTGGATCGAATTAGGAGCACCCTGCAGACGAGGCAAGCCGTGGCAAAAGAGCCGCACTCCGAGGGTGTCGTTCAATCATCGGAGTGAATGACACCCCAAGGGCGGGAAAACCATGTATGACCCATGCATCGAGGTTCTCGAATTGAAACACATCACTATCAAAACCGCAACAGGCGGATCTGGGGAGAAGGGGGTGGCATCCATCCGAACATACGAATGCAAGGATGCTTGGTATTTTAATGTAGTTTTCAGGATGATGGTCTGAAGTCCTGCTAAATGGCTGACAGGTGCTCAAATCAATTGAAGCAAGACAACTAACTAATCAGCTGCACCTGTGAAATAAATTGATAGTAATTGCGGGAACCCCCCAACCCACTGCAAATACCCTTAGCAAAAGAAATTCTAATGCCTTGAAAGCTTTACAGGTTGCCTGCAAGAGTAACGTGGGAGTCGTGGGCATCTTCTGACTTTTTGTAGAATCGACCTTGATTGACTGCAGCTTTCATTTGGCTCTTTCCACCGAAGGCTGCGTCCAAACAACGTCTGCAAACAGATCGTCTGTGAGGGGTTGCTCTTGAATGCCGTAGCTCTTGACCTTCAAGAGTCAGAATGAACGTGTCCTGTAGTGGAGGGCTTCAGAGTGGTGACTGAGACCCCAACCCCCAAGCAGTGAACACATAGCATGGAATCATCACATACCAGGGCCCCTAGGGGGGGTGTCTAATTATAGCCTTAGAGGTTAACGATTATATAAGGGGTATCCATTAACCACCCCTTAGGGGGGCCCTGGTATATGGCTTTTTACATGCTTTTACAACATGAAAAGCTTTGGCTTTGGCTCCATGATTTCTTAGGCCAGGTCAAGCTGCCAAAGGATTGCATGGTATTTGATGGTCCTGTGGTAGGGAATGCTTTCTGTTCTGCTCCAGGTCCGGCCAGCAAGACGAACCATGTACCAACCCAAGGGCATCTTCCTAATCAGCCCCTCAAACTGCCCATGAGGTTGTCAGCTGCGCACCATGTGGCCCTGAGTTGCGTAGAACATGGTGATCATATACATAATTTGTCGTTCACCCACCCCTTTCAGTTGGAAAACCAACTCCCCCCAAACAAAAGAGGCTAACACTTCGTAACACTTTTCGGTTGGAGTTCTTTGGCCTCTCAGGAACGTTGATTCAGGCCAGCTCTCTTGTGTCGTCTGCAGGGGCTCGGTGTCACGCATCATGCCATCACGGCACAACATTGGGCTGTAAGTAGAAGGAGGCCTGCAACAGAGCGGAGGCAACAGCCCTCGACGAGCGGCAGCGACTCATCCGATCCTACCCTTGAAACAATGGGCTCCGAAGCTGGTCCTGGATGAACCAAAAGAATCAGTATGCATGGTGGAATGCACGCTTGTGCGTTTGGGGTCCCAGGTCCTCAAACTAGTGCCTGAATCCTTTGCGTGACTGGAGCACCCCCAAATGAATTGAAATTACTGATGCCCAAAGCATCCCGAAGCTGCCACCTTGAGCTCTCAAAGGGGTGCTGAAAAAGGCCCCCAAGTCCGGCCATGAGAAAGACAAGAACCGGAACCCGCGCCTGTTTAGTCCCATCCAGTGAGTGGATAGCATGGATAGCACCTCTTTGTGACTGCTGGCATATGTGAAAGTGCGCAAAACGTGACATGTTCCGCCTGGATGCCGGCCTTTTGCCGCGCTTTGGGTGAAACCTCAGTCCATATGCAGCGAAACACCGGTGACATGGGAAGAGTCCGGGTGTTTCGCATGCCCAGACTCAAACACTCCATGTACGGCATATTTACCGATCAGGCCAGGGGTGGTTGAAGTCGGGGTCAATGTATGTAAATACCTACCTTGGAGTGTCTGGGATACAGAAAAAAACTATGTCAACCGACCTTGGGTGTACTGGCCCTCTGTCGTGTCGTGTTGCTCTTATTACAGGGAGCATCCCAGGGTGGTGGACCGTGCCGGGCGCAGCAGAAGTGGAACTGGCAGTTGCAAGGGCAGCTGTGCAGTAGAAGACAACAAATTAAAGGTTCATCCAATTGAAAAAAAATAATGTAGACTCTTGATTACTAAACCCCCTATATATATATATATGAAGAGGATGTCCAATTCAAATTGTGTGGGTTGTTAATCAAGAGTCTACATCTGGAAGAGGAGTAGCAGTAATTAGTGGTGATAGCGGTAGTAGTCCGAATAGTGAAAAAATCAGAAGCAGCTGTAGTAGCTGTTGTTGTCACACTGCCGCCTGAGATAGACAAGATGGCAAGAGAGGCACAAAGAGAGGCCGTTTGGGTCACTGCGACCCAGCTGCTGATGCATCGGTGGAATCCAAGAGGGACAAGAAGTCCTGGAAGGGTCGCAACTGGAGGAGGCTGTGCCGGCGCTGCGGCGAACACAAAGGGGAACAAAAAGAACGAAACACATGGCAAAACAGTGCTGATGCCAAAGTAGGAGGGGTGTTACTCCAATCTCATCTTCTTTCACTTCTTTCATTTGTGAGGGTGGTGCTTGGGAGATCTTTGTGTCATGTTGGGCTTCGCCATCGGACAGTGATCCGTTGAAGTACTCAACATCCGATCTACTTCAGGAAACAAACAGTAAATGATAAATCTTGAGATGATCTTCTTCTATGACCATGAACTAGCAACAAAGGTTGAAAATGGTTGAAGGACCCTAGGTACCCCAGTAGGGTCCTACAAGGTCACTTGACCTCTCTTGGTAGTTATCCAGATGTGGTTCGAAGACCTCAAAGGACATACTTCCAACGGCTGCATCAGCGTGTCTATGAGCACATAAGTCCAGGTGTCACGCCTACATTATGAACAAAAAGCTACGAGGAACAAGGGCATCGCTACTAGGGGCTCCTGGCATCGCTACTAGGAGCAAGGACGCTACTAGGGGCTCCTGGCCTTACTACCAGGAGCATTCTTACTACTATGAACAAAAACTAGGAGCAAGGACGCTACTAGGGGCTCCTGGCCTTACCACTAGGAGATTTCTTACTACTAGGAACAAAAAGCTACGAGGACCAAGGGCATCGCTACTGGTAGGAAGGTGCATCGCTACTAGCAAGAAGCTGCTAGGGGCGCTCCTGGCATTACTAATTACTAGTATCATGGAGAATGCTGGAGATGGATCATCAAAATAACTACCGGGGGCCCGGGGCGCTACAAATCTACACAACGGTTTTTGAATGCCAAATATATATATATATATATTGCGCCTAGGAAATTCAGAGATAACACCCTTTCCACTGCAAATGCCAAGATAGTTTCGGGGACGTCCATCCCAGGGTGTTTTGGATGTCTGGTGAATTGCTTGTGATTATGTACAATGAGCTCTTGCTCATTGTACCCCTGGTCTGACCAGTGAACCTCGCGCCCACTGAGGTCAGGGTCGCTCCAGGGGATCTATGAATATATGCCGCCCCTATTGACCCTATATCTAGAACCCAGACATGACCTCCCTTTTGATAGGAAGTTGGACCATCGACCATGGGTGGTTGGAAGTCCAAAACAGAGGTCACAAACAGGTTCTGGGTATATATATATATATACCACCCCAATGTATGGATCCACATGCCAGTCCCAGTCCCAGGTCGTGTGGGTGTCAGTCCACGCCTGAAAGGTCAGTTCGCCTTTACATGCAGCGTCGGCCTCTCGCACCAGGAGCTCCACATTGACCTGACACGCCGGACACGGCGGACACGAATGGGCGTCGGCATTGGAATGCGGACTTGTCGTCTACACCTGGGAAGATGAACTATGGAACCTGGCATGGGCCAGACTGGAGCCACTGCCATTCCTCTACAAACCGGGCGTGGTTTTCAGATGTTTTCAGGTTCCATGCAGGTCTCGGGGAACACTCCGGGCGTTTTTCACCGGGAACCGTGACGTGACATTCAAGTGACGTGACGGGGAGCTGCTTCGGCTCAAGAAAAAGGGGAAAGACTGCAGTCAGCCGAAAGTCGGAAGGAACCCTCCGGAAGGAACCCCCCTGCTGAAGGATGCCAACGATCCCTATAGGGATCCAGTCGTAGCTCCTCAAAAGGTACTTGGACCCTCCAAACCCACCCCAAACATACCTTCTCAGAGGGTACTTGGATCCTTAGGGGATTGAGCCAAAAACACGATTTGAACGGAATCTTCGACCACTTTCGGCAGCTCATCTAATTAGTGCCCCCCTACCAAGAACAGATCCCGAATCCAGTACAGTTGCACTGGAATGCACTGGAGACACAGTGTCGCGCTGGTGCCCTGATCTCCCCTGCCCAGGTCTGTGATGCTCACAAGGCGCCCCTTCGAAGGTCTCCCCAATAACTTGTCGTAGATCCTCCGGAGAAATGGAGCCACTGCCATCTGCATCCAAGCGATTGAAGGCGCTCAACACTGCTTCCTGCCACACGATGGACCAAAAGGCACAGAACTCAGC